CCTGAAGGATGAACTGGAATGGATAAAGTAATACGAAGATTTTAATAAGGACCGAACAACAACGACACGAAAAAATCGGGAAAGCCTGAGTACGCAGTAATGCATCTACCATGGCTCGTGTTCAAACTAACTATTCTTAGCTAGTAGGCTATGTTATATCTCTTATACAGGTAACAGCTAATTATTAAACACCGATATCAGACAGCGACCATGAAAGTATCGACAAATACTATTCCTTATTAATATAATTAGTAATATGTATTAATTAAATTTAATTAGAAATCAGATAAGAAGTGAGAAGATAATGATAAGGTAAATGATAATTATATATATTATACAGGATACATCAGACATATTGAATATAGTTATTTATCCAGAAATATGTACCTAAAACACTTGTAGTCTTACATTATGCAAATTGGATCATTATCGATCGATGCATGTTCTAATTTCGCTTCCGATCATTATGTCAATAGAAAATGCCGAAGGTAAATATCAACAATCTAATAGTGATGGTAAGATTACGTTACATTTCAAATGAAATGTAATGAATGGAGTTTTCTGCACCTATTCCTGATGGGTTAAATTGCAAGGAAGAAAAAATAATTGAAATTGTCTCATTAACTTAGAAAAAATATTTGTAGATTGGACTGATCACGTTGACTTCTTAGTGATGGTCTCAGTTATGGGCAACCGAAAAGGTACCTTCCATGATACAACAGACTTTATAAAGAAAAATTAATGTTGTTTGTTTATTAATCTCATTCTTCGTAAGATAATACCAGGATAAGGATATTGTTATTTGTTATAGGATAAAAGTCCAAACGCGGAATGACGTTAGCTGTTCCAAAAGTATTCAAAGCTCTATAGTTAATAAAGTTAATGGCATTCTAACCATGCCGGGAGAATGTTTGATTCGCTTGTGTTATTATTTAGTCTTATTTAATATATCCCATGATTTTTGTGGTAGTTTAAATGCCTTTCAGAAAGGTTACTAGTCATCAAATGCAAAATATACCACTAGGAAAGATTGTATTCGAATGAAGCAACGCTCGTCAAATTTATTTTACTCAACAAATTCCATAGAGCAAGAAAATAAAGCTTAGCAAATTTACAGTTGTAGTATCAACCATTACTTGTCATGTGTCTTGCATGGACTGACACGACATACACCAATTTGTGTAAGGTCGCATCAGAATTTGGTCTTCAAGAAACTTTGAGTGATAAATACAAATCAAATAACCATTTTAGTTTAACCCAAATCATAGCGAAAATATTCATTTACCATAAACTAAACCGTTAATTTCTTCATTATTACTTGGGTAAATAAAATAGCCAAGGGAAATTTGACGTAAGAATATTATAAATCATTCTATTTGATGACTTTATCAGTTTCTAGCATCGTAGATGAATCTATCTGCTATCGATGTATCGTGAACAGACCACTAAAGACAGTCTGAGCTTATAACAGTCTCACATAGATCTAATGAATTGGTAACTTTTCTATTAGACCTTCTGTTTGATAGAGATAAACATTTTCAATTTGGTTCCAAGTCTCTCTAGTGACAAAATACCAAACACTGAGGAAATATGTCATTGGGAAAAAATAACGTCATTACTTGCTTAACGCTACGATTTGCTTGCTGCAATTAGTACTTAAGCAGACATTGGGACTTTTTTCAGAATTGTAGACTGTTTAAATCCCAGAATTATAAAATGTAAAGGAAACGAAAGGTGCTTAAATAGTCAGGTCAGTGATGCAGGAGCGGATGAAATTGAAAAGCGTCTGGTCATTCAGAATGGACTATAAACTCAGGCCCTGTCTTTTATAATTTGCACGAGAACACTCGACGGTTGGAAATTGTAAAAGAGTAGGCCTCTGCCCATGTAAAACATGTTCTCTATTGCACAGTGCATTATACTAATCAAGGGCTGAAAAGAAGGACCGGTTAAGTTAACGGCTTAGTGGGATCTTTGTGCAAATGAAAAGGAATTTCCCTGAGATGCCTTTAACGAATCTAAATTAGCTTCCAACGAGCCAACATTTTAAAAACATCCTTTAGATATTCGGATGTGACGATGAACTACAGACTGTCTTAAATCAAAAAAGAGTAAGCTGTCCTGACAAATTTTACACATTGCATGACGTTATACGTCTTCATTACTCCACACTGAAGTCATAATTCAGTGATGGAATACTTTATAACAAGCAATTGAAGGGACATAACTGTATTTTTCTTGTGAACAAAAATTATAAATGAATATTTCAATCCAGCTATACACGTTTTCAGTTAAGACAGAAAATGCACTGAAGAGATGTCAAGTTTTTATTTGCATTGTATGGTTATACCTTTCTAAAGTTGTACTTTTCTTATTTCAGTTTCCTGGCGTATACAGTTTGCCTGCTTGAGGGGTTTTAAGTGTTCGATATATTTCTTTGAATGTTTATTGTATTTAAATATATATTCATGTGTCATGTTCATTCACTTTATTCTTTAACAAGATCAAATACGATCCAGACATAATAACATTTTAATTAGGTAATTAGGCATTTTATTATTTATCCCAATTACCCATCCTGTTGTCATTGCCGCATTGGAAACCATCAAAGCGGATAGAAAGAGGGAAATTCTGCTAATTAAAGCATATTAGTGCTATATGGTCGTCACGAATGGTTGATGTATCGTCTTTTGAGCTTCAAGGTAGTTATCTTTCGTTTTTTCTCTCGCCGATGATTTGATTGGAAATTGTATGGAACTCATAGATTGGTCCTGTTATGTATAAAATATATCTTAATATTTTTCAGCATTGAAAACGCTATTTGCTATGATGCCCATTACAACTGTTACGACTTGTGTCTTTTCTTACTCTACAACAAAAAATACTATACATGTGTTTTGGACCTTTGAGGGTAAAGATTAGATATTTTTTTTTTCAGATATATCACATATCAGGAATTGATATATTCCTGTTCTCTTTGGGAACGTTTCGTTTCTTTGAATCATAACGTGAGGGGACGAGCAGAGGCCACAACATTTTCCAGGAAGGCACAGGCTTTTCTTGCACTATGTAAAATGATAAAAAATTTGAAAGTGCCCCCACGCCACTGTTGGAAACGTCTATGTCAAAAGAAGAGATAATTTATAGACAAAGATGACCTATATATATATATAGGTCACGAGGAAACAGAGTTCAATTCAGATTGAAAACTTTGATTAGGAATTTTTCGCACCAAATTTTAGTATTGGCTAATTAATTAAAATCTTGATTTGCATTTCTTAAAAATTCAGTAGAACCGCGAAGGGTTGCAAAGGGCCTTGTATAAGCTTTTAAAAGAGATACTCTCTTTTTTTACCAAATAAGGGCCAATAACTTTAAAACCATCCGTTCGAAAATTGTGTTTTTTTAAGGTTTTATTAACACATAAGCGCACACAATTTTGTACAAATGGTTATTTTGACGTATTTTGACTGCGTAACGAGCAATAACGTATAAGAAAAAACATGAATAATCACATCAAAATAAGATAATCAGATAAATAGGAACCATCACAAAGACATTCCGTTGCACTGCGTAGTGAAATGTAGATTTTGGAACAAGTGACTGCGAATCCTTTGCCAACACCAATGAGTGTACGATTGTAAGTTCTTCCCTATTCCATGGGTTTATCTTATGATCTATCCAGTCAATCCAAGCATCTAACTCAAAGACATTTAACTTTAACAGAAACATTTTTGGATGAAACCATCAGAATAAAAGTTACCACGAGTTATCGAATAGTAGCTAAATACAATTTTTGAAAAACGAATTTAACTTGTGACTTGTCGTTGCTGAAAGGTTTAACAATGAAACTACCTATTGTAGTAGTGAGGAATTACACTAAAACTATGAAAAGAACTTGAAACTGTTTAATAATAACTGGTTACAATACTTACAATACATAGGCGTTGTCCGTCTGTATAAGTGATCTGGTCAATCCAAGATGCCCATAAACATAACATTCCGTATCTATACACTGTATAAATCCGCGTAGCGATTTATACATAAGTGTACACAGGTTTTTTTCTGTTCATACATCGATAAACTGACAAAATGTTCAGGTCATTCCTTAAATAATCTTTTTATGTTTTAATTGTCGATTGTTGTGCTAAATCTGCATTTTAATCTGTCGTATGTTTCCATAATGTCAAACAATTTTATTATAAATACGGAATGTTATGTTTATGGGCATCTTGGATTGACCAGATCATCAGTTATACAGACGGACAACGCCGATGTATTTACAATATTTCCTTATAATTAAATCAACTCGAATACATGTTTAAATATTTATCTAAAATAGCAACAAACTAAAACACAAAATCGGCGCATAAATACCTCAAATTTTAACATAACGTTAATGAACTAACAATAGAGACGTCCTAGAGAACAGCCAATCAGCAATAAGTAGGTCACCTATTTATAGTCTACTGTCAATTGCTTGAAAGTTGACGAAGCGGCCTCATTTAAAGTTCAATTATTGAAAAACGAGTTCGAAAAAGTAAAAAAATCATGATTTTGTTCATATTTGGAAAGTGCACTTTTGACGGAATTTGGAAAATACCGTAATCATTCAGTGAAGTGTAGATTTCGGCTCTGGTGGCATTCGAAGGAAAGACATCGACGCTGTGTAGTGGCCACGTCAATCAAACTCAATGATAAAAGTAGTCCGTTAAGGGGCGGAGCTTATATTTACATTCCGTTTACACAGATATAAACCGAATTCACGTGACCACTGTTATCCAATCAAACTGCGTGATTTAATTGTAACAGATTAAATGAGAATTACCAACTGTGACACTTGACTGAGTTGATAAGGTATAAAATGAATTATTGCAATTAATATTGGGACTTCTACGATGGATGCTTTTCAACTATCATACTATTAGTAAAAACTTATTTGCTTCAAATAAATAGTAAGCTTATTAATAAATATATTAAAACACAATGATTAATTAAAATTATCCTTCGTTAGATTTAAAATTCTTGACCGCTTCAATATTTGCTATATCAGGGTGGTCACAATTCAATTCTTGGTGTCTTCTTTCCCAAAAACCCCTTTCCATACATCTATTAACCATACATTCACCAGAATATGATGCCACTGCGACACTTCCAATAACAGTACCATTCTGATATAAATAATTATAGTTAGAATAATGAAATGGTCCACAATCATGCTTATGACAAGTACCTTTAATGCATTTATCATAATCGTCGCATGTTTCATAATAACATGGATCATTCTGCGGTAGTTCAGACCAATCTATTATATCTGAAAAGAGATCGCTATCTGAATTAGTGGATTGTAATGTTTTTGAATCCCCAGAGTATCTATTTAACTCACACCTTCCAGTTAGTACATTAAAATTAAACGAAAAACAATTTTGTTCGTACCAGCATTCTCTTCCACAAACCATGATACTAATATGTTCAATAGCTTCAATAAGGAATCCGTTTAGTCTCTTTCCTCTACGGACTGTCGATGGAAGTTTATCCGATGCAGCACACATTGTTTCTTCTGAAGATACACTATACATGGATAGTACTATTATCCACAGAGATACAATCATTTTATCTGTTTTCATTTTTCATCTGATCAAATCGACAACAATATAACAATTCTATGAGGATATGTAATCAGCTGGCATTATTGATGAGATGATCACTGAAATGAAAGAAGTAGCAATCATGGCGCAACCAGACTTATATAAGCTCATTATTTTGTTAATAGAAATAGATTACGTCTGTCACTGTTTCAATAAGCGTGTTTGTGATAAATTATTTATGTTCATATATTGAAAAACTTTAAAATCGATGTGCAATAAATGTGTTGATCAAAACCACAAACTATTATTGGCATGGCCAAAAACGTTATTTGTTGCTTTAAAAGCCTTTCCATGCCTTTCTACCTGCATCTCCAAGCAGAACTCTGTACAGCGCATATTAAGTATGCTCTCACTCAGTCTAATTAAAATTAGTTAAAACTTTCGTGCCTTTTTGTATTATCTTTTAGTTTTAATAAAGCCACTGCTATGCAAACGTTGAAGAACGTAGCAAACGTCACCTAGTTGGGTCAAAAGGTTAATTTGACGAACGTTAAAGAGTTCTGGCGTAAGACCCTAACTGAAGTAACTGTTTCACAAATAAAAGCTAATAAAAAGCGCAATGAAAGTTTGGTCAAATTTTGATTCATCACTCAAACAGTCCTTCCACCGTATATAATAGTAATTGAGTACGTTACATCGAATCCAAAAATTCTCAAATCCAACCGTCTGTTTAGGATCCAAAATCTCTATCTTTCCAATTTAAATTTTCCGAAATGCAAAACATATACTAGTGATTCAATTACAAACAACCATCCTGCAACGAAATCAAAGAAGAAGTGAATGTTATATTCTCTTTCTTTCCTTTGAAACGACAGTTCAAAGACATTAATAACAGTTCAGCGTTAATGACGGGACGCAACCTAACATTCTTGTATACAATAATAATGCGGGTGTTTACTCAAACGCGACATAATGGCATTGCCTTTATTTACCTGTACCATTAATCAATATTCAATAGATGGAATAACTTGATCGTTTTACATGGATCAAGTGTTTTTCTTTTAACGGTTACATAATAATATCAGGTCAATGCATGTCATCTATTATTCAGTTGATCTAGATTATTTTTTGGTCTTTCTGTATTATTCTGCAGATGAATAACTAATAATTAATTGTTAGTACTCGACGTTGCTCGTTGGCAAGCAAGATGGTTTTTATTCCCTATCATGGGCGCAGATCGCAGAAGCGTCGTTACGAAGGGGCATACGTAGCGAATTCTATCGTTCGCATATTTTTGTCGATCATATCATGTGATCAGTACAAATGGCGGATCGCCACTTAGAGGACTTGCCTTGACATTAAATTTGATTGGTTGAAAGGTACATTGGTACAAATTACATGGCACATTGGACTGGTTACGGGCCTAGCAGACGAGCGAATTTAATCGCTGGTGAAAATAACCGGCTGAAAATATCTAACAATTTTGATGCTGGTAATTCGCAGAGGTTTATAGCTTCTATCCGTACTAACAGTCCATTCCGAATTGCGTTATTCGAAACATCGCACACAAGGGAGTGGGAACAATTAGATCTATAATCTATACAGTCACAACAGAGAACCGAAGTAAACAAGGCCCATCGGAATTAAGGGAGATAACTCATTTATTCAATTCAAGTTACGGAAACAACTCACATTTATTCAATTCAAGTTCCGGTTATTCTAGATTTCAACTGAATTTTCGAAAGTTGACGGCAACATAGCCCTCCTTTATATTCGAGATGCCACCGAAAGGTCGCGGTGTGAAATCTGGCAACCTGTTACCAATGTTCCGAGCAGCTATATCAAAAGCCACTTCACATGGACCATCATCGACATCATCAAGTACCGAAAGGTCGGAAACACGACTGTCCGCAAGAAAAAAAACTGTTAGCTATTACCAAGCCTGGTATATATCATGAACCAGCTTGATGATATGTCGAAGAAATAGCAACGCAAGGCTCGTGAGGCATTACAAAAGATAGTGACCTCGGTGAGATATCTCGCATGCAAGGGGATAGCTTTTTGCGGTAAAAGTAATGAGGGCGGGAAATTCAAAAAGTTGTAGGAACTACGCAATGAGGACGATCGAAACTTTAGCGAGTGGCTAGCCACAAAAACCACTTACACAAGCAGCGAAATCGTGAATGAAGTGCGCACGGCATTGTCACCAATATCGCCAAATTGGTCCGAGATGAAGTGTATACGTTATGTAACTTAAGATTTTGAAATCCATGTAGATGTTGTTGGGCTCCATGTTAGCTAAAAGACTGGTTCCGGTCTCGCCAAAATATTACACGATGTAATGATCCGGTTACGGTTGCCACTAGCAAGAGCACAGACGTATGATGGTGTCAGCAACATGTCCGGCGAATACAGCGGCAGTGGAAATAAAAGAAAATCAACCACTTGCGCTTTATACGCATTGTGGGTCCCACGTGTCCCACCTTGTAACATCTAAATCAGTTCAAGAATCGAACTCGATATTGACTAGGGATGCGCTAGATTGTGTTCAAGAGCCTGGGAAATATTACAAAAAGTCGGGAAAATTTAAAGACTTGTATCTCGACCAAAACGCGTGTGATCCCGAAAAAACCAGTCCTTCTGCATTTAAGCAATATGCCCTACACATGGCTGACCCGTGTCCCCGCGGTTACATCCGCTCTTCAAAATTATGAGGAAGTAGTTTCGTCACTCGAGAAGGCAGCGAAATATTTTGGATCGAAAGCTGGAGCTAAAGCAAGTGTCGGAAACATTGCTAGGTCTGAAAAATATGTCAAGGGGATGTCCACCAGACCCTCTGTCGTGGGCACCCACTGGATGACTGGTCAATTCAGTAAGATGCAAGAAGGTACCTTTCTTTCTATATTTCTGGAAGCTATAAAGCTACGGGGTCACCAGCTCGTCTGAAACGTTCTCATACCGCTATACTCTGCATTCGAATTCGCACCTACGGTCCGACCCCTTTTGAATAAATCCTGCGTGCCCAACTGGTCTCCCCGCATTGAAAAAGCGATCTGCGCCCCTGTTCCCTATCTTATGGCATCCATCGTAATTCAGGTTTACAGAACGCAAAATAAACTCTGCTAATGTCGGTTGTGCGGACCAACTGTTGCGAATCAAGAAGATGTCTTAAATAAGCATAATTGAATGCCATATCCATACTGTCGTTCAGTGCTCTTCACGCTAGTTTCAATTTCATTTACGTAGAAATGGCTGAAACTGTCTGATGGTGGTCTATATGCCCCTTTCTCTATAACGAAATGTAAATGTGCTTTGGTCCCATGAGCTGGTAGCAATAGATTGATTTTTATCACCTCTTATCTGGAATAGATTTTTTTCATTAAGTCTGTTTCTTTCGGAATTTGTTATGTCCAAATGTCTGATAAACAAAGATAGTTTTTTATAATTAGAAAATAAATTACAGTTTTATTTCTCATTGATCTGATATTCTATGTTCTCCATTGTAATCTAGCGAGATTGATACCAAAGCAACATTGTATTGACGTTAGTTACTTTAATATAACAAGTGCAAAGTGCAATAAAAACCCATTTCAATTGAAAGGAATGAGTTTTATATCGAAAGTTTTAACATGATATGCAAGAAAATCAATCACTTATAATAGATCATAAGTTGTGGGAATTGAAATAAAGGTATGTTTTATGAATTAGTCAATAGATGATATTGAATTTTGATTTATACTAACTATTGAGTTATGCTTTCATTAGTTGAAAACAAACTTTTATCTATTTTTCAATAAGAGTTCTCCCCTTGCCCCTTCAGTATTTACAGACTGTTCCTGTTCCGATCCACCAAGTACAAGAAATGAAAGAAAATGTTTCTGCTAGATAATTGTATTTTTTTAAAGCTTAAATTTGCAGGAAAGATATCGTGTTGTCTAGTCAATAACCTCAGAAGGCATTTATAATAGTGCTGTCACCTTGGAATATACTCTATACTCTTTGACTGGCACGATGTATCGCGATACGACCTGCCACGATACGCGTATCGTATCGTATCGCAACGTCGTGTATCGATACTTGACGATATCTTTTATTCAGTAAAAATATGGCGATTTTTATAATTTGGTTTGTGATATGATGTGATAAAATTATAAATGAATATATATATAGAAACTTTTAAGACAAAATGTTATTTTTTTCTTTTTCTGCAAACAATACTTTTTTTTTACAAATATATTCAACGATATACATTATGAAAAGGATTCGGGAACATGGCAAGCCTTAAGAATTGTACAAACGGAAGGTGAATCTGTTCCTTACAGAGATTGAAAATGTGTTTCATGTTGAACGTTTCTCAATCATTGAGATAAAGGTGCCAACAGTATAAGATTAATAAGATGTGTTACTTATACAGGTTTGGGAGGTTTGCATTTAAACCTACCCAAAGTAGCTGTGGGCACTATACTTGTTGATTCTGATAATGGTTATATGGTATTGTAGTCTGCCATACACAAAATACCAAATAACTATAACAAAACAAATTGGTGTTCTCCACCCTTGTCAGTCTTAAATAATATGAAAATTAAAGACATTCCAGACCACAGATATCGAGACAATCACATTGCAACATACTTCAGAGGATTGAATGCGTCATATTGTCGAATGCAAGAAAATGTTTTACAGAATAGTGCTATGTTTAAGCCAGTAATACAATTGCTGCGTCGGTAATTACTAGTTATAATATAACCCTTAAGGAATGTTATGTAAATATATATTTCTCTTCAGAATAAAAGAAAAAGGCCGAAGAGCATTTTAAACATTTATGAAAATGGATTTCGTGTGAAATATTGTTCTGTCTAAACACAGAGTTTAGTAGCGTGCAACTGCAGCGAAAAACATCTTAGCAGGCCTCCAATCATTACGACCTCCACCCATATGCAGATACATACTAATTTCTGTAATATTCTTACATTTCATCCTGTTACAGATATTCCTCTTGCATTCCTGTTACTGTCGAATAGCGTATTTAGTAGCTACAGGGTAGTGCTGTGAAAACACACCCTTTATTCTAATTCCCACAACAACTGGCCATTTAGAACGCAGGTAGCTCAAAGCTGAATCTCGAATGCCGTCATTATATTTTATAACTAGGCCAAAAAAAACCCTTTGTGTGAATTGTCACAGAAGGACTTCCCGAGGTTTGATGTGATTTGAAATAAGTTTCAAACCTTTTCATGTTGCCCTGCATTGTTGCTCCTTGTTCGTTCAAACAGAACGTTTTCAATTGGTCATTTAGATATTCTGTTAAATTTTGGACTCTGCTTGTTGTATAAGATGGAGCTTTACAACTGGAATGTCCAGTGCCATATGTTTTACTTTTAGTATGGGATCGTCGATCATAATAACCTAAAATCATAGCCCAGGCTACCGGTACACACCCAACTGCGCAACACATCCGTTTACAGTCGTGTAGGTGTTGGTTGTAGTCGGGGAAGAGATTTTCATCATTGATGGAATAGTAGGTCCAATTGGTGGTTTGACGTTTATGTCTCTGCTTTGTATTGAGCATCAATCTTCGCCCATATTGTTCGCCTTGGTCTTGTACGGCTACTTCAAAATACTGCACGTCCTTATATGTCTGTGGAACAAATATCTCAAGGAAAGCTTGCCCATACTTGGTTCTACCAAAATTTGACGAATCGACCAATATTTTATCATCTGGATGACAAATCTTCAGAAGAGAGCATAATTTAGTTTGACTTTCTTTTGAGTGAACTGCTCCGCCATTCATAGATTTGATACCGACATGATGGTTGTCGCCTACGACTACTTTATGACTGTATTCGATCACATGATAATATGAAGCCTGCTGATGTTTATTGAATATGGACTCCTCCCAGATACCTTCTCGGCTTACGTCTTGTCTTTGGTTCTCCCATAGCTTTTTGAGTGTTTTGTAGTCAGCTTGGGAATACTGGACGCTATTTTGAAAAAATATATATAAACACGTTTTAGTGTGCTTGTGTACTCGATCCTTGAAAGGAATTCAATAATTGAAGTGATAATCATTTTGATGGCCTTAACATCTTATTGGCGTCATTTTTGCGGTCAGCTCACAAATGCGTGGTGTTTGACAGCGACGAATTTCCTGGAGTTGTATGGCAATAACTCATATTGAAATGTGAAATCTGGACATTCACTTGTTCTGTTTTTGCTGTGACATTGTTCAGGCTAAAGTTGAAATGACGTGTGATTAATAAGTCACCCTCTTATGTCCCCCGCACACCGAAAGGGCGTTCTTACTGCTCTGTGTGTTAAGGACGCTATAATGGTGCAATTGTCGCGACTATTTGCCGAGTCACGACGTTTATTTTGGACATGTTGTGTGTGATGGACCCCAAACACAGTGAAAGGTCTGATCTACTGCCAAGGCGACAATGACGTTAACATACCTCATAGAATATCATCTGATCATGATCAGAATTACAAGCTATATCAACACCTGGTGTTGGAGTCATCATATAATATTTACTACATTTACTCTCCTTTAACGACGCCATTTTATCAACTTGATCTAACATTGATGGTGCTGTACCTTGTATTACCAATTTATAATCACCTACAAATATACATGTAAATATACATCAGTGCTGATCAATAAATATATATAAAAACATTGTCCCATGAAGAAGAAAACATGTTAAAAGATGTCTTTAATCTTTTAGGAGCATTGTAAAGAAATAGGCAATTGTTATTAGAAAACCTGGCTTTAAATGACACATTTATTCTTAATAAGATTTGCAGTGTGATCAAGTTACTCTACTGACAACATCCGGGTCGATTTGTAAAGAATGGCAATTTGTGTCCTTGATATATAATTTATTCTACAAAAAATCACATAAAACATATCACGAATAGCGCTTTTGACATGTAAATGCTGACCAGAGAGTGATAAAGGACTTCGATCTGGCTAAATTAAATACATGTAATTGGGCCAGTGAATCTGGTCATTTATTTGATCGGTCAAAGAACGTCGCTTCGTGCGTCAACATACATAGAACGGCGGGCGAACGTTGGACATTGCAGAGAGACCGAAAGTGTCCTCTCTCGAACCTGTCAGCCTTTCTGTGTCTTTCTTTAGCTTGTGGGCACAGTCACATACTTGCGCCCCAGAAACGTCACAGTCCGTCGTCTGCCCCCAAGATTTGAGTTTAATCTTTGATAAAGTATTGAGTAACATTTAATAAAAAAATGTAAGCGTATATATACACTTTTAAAAAGCATTTATCTTACATTCTTCATTAATACCAATTAATATTTGTTCTATTTTAATCTTACCTGTTTTTGAACTGGATGATAGAATAACATATTCATAATTATTGATCTCTATATACCAATAAGCAGCATAATCGTCTGGTAAATCGTGTCTATAAATTTGTTTCGGTAAACCTAAAAATCAATGGCAATTAGATATAAAAACCCGTACATGCAAACAATTCCATTAACAAAAAATCTCGTCCAAAGCATGGTAAAATTGGGAGCAATGATTTTATAATCGTGGCCTCTCCAGATAATGAGTTTCATCAGCTTTACTATCAATCCGATGGATGTTTAAGATAAAATTATGCTCTTACTTTATGTGCGCTCAAATGATTTTAAAGTAAAGTAGTTATATCAATATATAAACAGAAAAGAACAGAAAGCCTTCTGTCATCACAAGTCTCACCTCTTACAGAATAAATATCAAACTGATCAGAGAGCTCAAGTAAAGTTGTTTTAACTTGCCATGGAAGAACAGTCTGCCATTCAGCAAATACCAAATAACAACAACACAACAAAATAGTCGTACGTAGAATCATCGCTTTTACAATCTAAAATAATTAACAAGGATTTCATTTCTGTTTCTGGAATCATGGAAAATTTTTACTTTATACATGTATAAATCCAAATTGTGAAATCCAAAATTTTGACTGTGCAATTCGAAATTTCGACTTGTGGCAAAATAAAAGTGAGTAGATACAAAGCTGTAAATAACAATTTAAGAAATATTTTTATGTTTATGTTTTCGATAATGAAAAAAACCTTCAATCTATTTATAAAAGCATCTGTCCACCTACCTTCCACTTACTAGTTTTTCAGGCATCTGACTTACTCGATATATAAGGTGAAATATTCTGGATGGTTTGAGAAAATTCGCCCTTTTTTTATAGATATTCTCAATTTCAAATTAAAATAGAAAAGTGGCAACCAAAAGTGTTTGCTGAAATAATTTATTAGTCGTTTTAGTTGTATGCTCACTTGAGAACATCCGTGAACAACAAAAAATATAAAAAAATTACCCCTTGAACTATTTGAACCTCTATCATTTATTAATTTTAGATACTCACAATTCATTGTTCAGCATAAAAATCATAGGACGGGGTCGTTCGGTTTTTAATATAAACGCGCGGTAAATTTTAATTTCAATCTAGACAGGACAGATCCTAATAATTGGAATCGAAAGTTTACATAGCTCGTTTTGTTTATTTGGTACATATATATTACTTAGATACCAATAGGTCGTAAATCTTCTGGCTTGTGGTCTTAAACTTGAGATCATCCCTAAATTAATCATTTTTATTCATTATTTCATATATTGTTTTGCACAATGTCTCAAGTTTTTTAATGACCCTTTGATGACTTGGACCATGTCAGTGGGCTCCTTTTGGCGCTTACTTCTCGGGTTTGTTCTAGAAGGCCTAATCTTTGCAATTTGAAAGTGCAAGCGTTTCTTTGGTCTCGACTGGCAACATCTTTCGTTTGGTTCTATTAACGGTAGTAATAGGTTGTAGTGTTATTGCATGATTAGAGAAATCAGGGGATTTTGTTCTGCTTGAACTAGCTTAAGGCTGGATATACTGCAATTGAAAGGTTGCTTGAGAACGATACAGTTCAAGTCCTAATTAGTATAGTAAACATTAAAAATTTTCTGTTTGCATTATCTCCCTTAAGGAATATATTTTTGTTATCGGCAATCACATGTATTAAGGCTACTCAGTTTGGAATATTAAGCACAGAGCGCGTATAGGCTGGAATTAAATTTCCATCGAGGGAGTGGCTTTTGTGAATCAAATTTCATGACACTCGTTTGCCTCAAACATGTGTCAGAATTCAACAAATCAATTTAATTTTTCAAATATGTTTTTAGTAGAACATCCTTGGCCCCTGCATGGCGTGGTTGCAACTCTGCGCTTCCGCAATTGAATCTCGACCTTTGTACTCTTATTAAGTCAGTCTGCCCCAGTCAAATCCATAGTCCGTGAAAGAAAATATTGAACTAGGTTTACTGTGTAATTGAGTGAATGTTAACAATCTCCTGTTCGTCATGGATGTTGCATCTATTCATCCTTCAGTTATAAATGTTTGTAAAGATCGTTGTCATTTACGGTGCATTTTACAACAATAAATACCAACCGTAAAAAAACATCACGATTGGTTAAATCGCTTAATTCATGTACATAATTGAAACATAGTTCCGTTTACATGCAGCGATTTAATCTCTTATCTACTAGCTCTACTTAGATTTCGGGGAAGGAAGGGTTTGATTCTCCCAAATGTACATGCCTAGGGTGGAACAGATACTTTATTTAGAAATTGGGATTACGGGTCCTGATATTAGGTTTTCTTCTGTTCTGATTCTGATCTGAAATTAGAAAAAAATAAGACAGAAGTATAGTATCTGTTATGTACTGATTGTTTTTAGTTTACTATGAACAATATTATCATTTAAGTTCTTATTTTTTGAATATGCAACTATCATTTTCTGCTTATAGACATGGGGGAATTTCTCTTGAAGGCTCTTATGGAGGTTGAGATCGTCTATTGAATGGTCGTTGAGGTTGAAATGATTAGAAACAGGCTTTGTCTTTCTTTAATTTGATAGCCGACCTATGAGCATTAAAACGAGTTCGACGAGAACCATGGAATTAATATATTGATTACAGACAAGGTCACCTTCCCAATGTACCTTGATTGCAATTACATCATTCTTGTATCATGGAAATTTGAAAATGAAGCGTTTTGATTGGATTGTACACTAGCGAATGCAGCCAGTCATAGACCTCAACAAAAAGTCGGTGAACACAAAGCTTTCATCTTTATGGCCTTTCTGTCGAGGGCAATGATTGGCTGTATTCGCTGGCGTACATTCCAATTAAATCGCTGCATTCTGAACTTTTTGCCGCTACCCCTTTATCCATCATTGCGCGTCTAACTGCGACCCCCATGCATTTGTCCACCTCCCCCTAAATATATAGTTTTCACCCGCGTCGCCGCTACTTAAACCGGCTTCAGACACAAAGGTTGTGTCAGACAGAACAAGAGTTTTTATTGGCGTATTTGGTTAGTTTTGTTTACTTAGCCGGATCAAGAATGTACCTTGCGATGCGATATCCTGAATTTAGAACACAACTTTGACAGTTCTGACAATTCCAGCGAGAAAAGGCATGAATAGATTAAGTAAAGGAAATAATTAAAGTGAAATTGACCACGCGATCTCGCTTTTAGGAACCAGTGGGTTAGGATAAGGTCCTCTAATGAATGGTCGTCCCAAGTTGCAAGTGGTTGCCTAACAAGATACGCCCACTTCCCTGATGAATTTTCGGGATCACCAATCTGTGTCAAATCGTACAAAAAATCTAGTTTGCAAAGATATTGTTAATTTAAACCAACACAAAATTCTGACATAAACTGTCACCTCTATTGCATTCACAAGCCACATTTAACATAAAATGTATTATTTAAATCAGATGAAGAGATGGCAAATGAATTAGTGGTGTGAGTCCTGTCTTAGATCTGCTTTTAATTCATTATTTCCAGAGTCGCGTCCCTTGTATCAAAAGATTATTTTTAGTTTATCAATTGCTATGACTGCATTTCGATTCCATTTAAAAAAAAATTACTCCAGTTACAAAATATTTGTCTTAATAGCAGACAGAGATTGCATTTTCTTGCTGTTCAATGTGTTTCTGCTTATATTTAATGTCCTCAAACTTTGAAATGCCGTTCAAAAGACATAGTATTGACAGGATTCATAATACACAAAGTCAACTCAAACATGAGAGATACATGATTTTCATCTCTTAATGCTTTCCCTGTTAGCCGTTCAACCATTAAGACGTTTGCTCGCTAGACGTGTTCGTGGAAAACTTCTTGTTTTACTCGATATGGTTTTCCCAGATCACTGATCTGAATTAATGACCTGTCGTCCTATCGCACATTAATGGCTTTGTTAAGTTTTATATTTCACCAATGAATATCTACATCAGCACGAACGACCAAAGTATTTTGTTCATTCCCGATTCCATTTTAAACAGTTCCTCGTGAGCACACAAAACAAATTTTATTGATTGCATCAAAAATAATGTAACACAGACATTTGTAACAATATATAAATAATAATAATCATTATAATCATCACCAAAAAAACAAAAGATCAAATAAACATAAAATCAACAAAATTTAATAATAAAAATTAGGCACTTAGTTTTTCACCTTATCACAAAATTATATTTAAAATTAAAATCGGATTGGTTCCTGCAGATCTTTACACGAGAGACGCTGAGCTCTTGCGTCTGCTAAAGTTGCTGCGTTGGCATCATACCAGCTTTTAATAAAGGTAAAATATTGACGATTGTCGATGCCTTTAAGGCACCGCAAGTTATTAATTATGATTTTCAATGAAGTGACCCATCTTGATTAGCGAATTCAATTTCTGATGAGATGACGCATCAGTTCATTTATTTACCTCAATTCAAGAAGAGAGAACCGCCAATGATTTCGGGAAGGATCAATGCTGGTATAAAGAATCCACGTGAACCTAGTTTGTTTGCACCAAGCACTGAACATATTCATAATCAGGCTACGTGCACTCAATGATATAATATGACATGAAAATTTTGAATTCAAAATAAGATTTATCATCAATCGTAAGACCCAATGGGAAAATGACATCTTTTTTAATAGTGCCGTATCAGAACCGTCCTAGGCCTTAACATTCGGAGAAAGCAAACCCTCGATTCCCCCACAACAATAATTAAAGTCGGATGCCAACTTAGTAAAAACAAAATTTGAAAAACACCGTTCAGAGACAATCAATGGTAATATAATCACGTTTATACCACAAGTAGTTCGATTTCTTCACAGTTTTTACAAACATGAGGCGGTACCTGTTTCCCCTTGGACGGATGATTTTTACACAACAAACAATCAGTTTCACTTGATATCACAGAATCATTTTGGTTCACATTTTCATTTTTATGGTCAGTCTGATTATATTTCCACTGATGACCATTACAATCTGGAACAGTTAATGATGACAGATTCTTCCTCGATGAAGGCGGACTTTCACTAAGCCTATCTCTAGTTCGTGATTCACGAAACGAATTTATACGTGAATGCGTTGAATGCGAATCGCATGGTTCCAAATTGGAGTCGTGCATTTTTAATATGTCCCATAAATTACTTTCGGAAGAATTTTTTTCGATACTTAGCGGTCGATCACCTCTAGAGAAGCCGTCTGGTAAACGTTTATGATTTGAGAGTCCAGGAAAACGGCGCTTCATAGTAACACTATCAGTTTCATCTTGAACTAAATACCACATTCTTTGTTTTCTAGTTTGTTCATCTTCAGACACTAGCCAATATGTCAATAAATCTCCTTTTCCCTACAAAAACAGACGATGTCACATAAAATTCGAACTATGAAAGTATAATGCAATGTGGCTTTACATATATAAATAACAATGCCTATTTACTATTACAATTACCTATGCAACAAAACATTGTTTTAAATATCAATGATGTGTTTGTTACCTATGGATAAGTAGTTAATGCTCAAGCCATATATCATTAAATAGTATCGCCTTATTCATCTTCCAGAATACAAAGTATATGATCTTTCCATAGCGAAAGATTTCTTTTAACATGTGCTAATTTTTTATTGAGAAAATGTATTAGTTATGATGATCATTGGGACCGCATTGAGCTGTAATTTCGAAGGACATAGTTTGCGATGTTTACCTTCATATTGATCAGCCCTCTTTCTTTCAAATTATAACCACCCAACTTCATCAACACCGCTCTACATTCAGCACTACAATGGATCTTTAACGCTGTAAGATATAAGAACAGATACTGCTTTGCAATCAGGTGAAGGTTCAGTATTCAATACCAGTGCGCCTTGGGAAATTCCACGAAGATTTAATCGCTGCGCAATATATATTTCGTCATTATTATTATTATTATTATTATTATTAGATGGTACCTTTAGAACCAGTCGTAAAAGTCGAACTCCGACAGCAAATTTGATTCATTGAACAATGTCTTTTTGCATGGAACTATATATTTCTGGAAAGGTCAGAGATAGTTAAAAGTTATAAATACACTCACCTTCTCCGTTAGATTCCATTCTAGAGGCAGTATTAACTGTATCACCAAATAAGGTATATCTAGGCATAGTCATACCGACAACTCCTGCCACAACAGGTCCTAAAATACCAGAGAAAGACCTGAGGCTAGAAGATCTATGTGTAAGTGAACCTAACGACGATTGTCTTCGGTCAAAGAAATTGCTAAGAACATACACACTTAAAGATAGAATATAAGGTTATGCGTAACGAAATCGCATTCATTCATTCAAATCGGTCATTTATTCATTCTTTACAATATACCGATAGAAATGTATCTGTATGTATGCCAACATAATAATAATATCATGTTGAGAAATGTTATTGAGGCTTTTTCATTCAATCATTTTTTCATCCATTCAAAATATTACACTCGCATTGAAAGAAGTAGTCAATACCTGTATGTATACCGATTCTTAATTTCAGAGTTTCATTAGGACGATGTGGTATTTGAAACGTTTTAATTGCTGAGAGTAGATGAAGAGACATTGAAGCTATTTCACCGGCATGATTATCACCATTTCGTAATGGTAGACCACTGACTACCATATAGGCATCACCTATTGTCTCTACTTTATATACATCGTAATTCTTGATAATATTGTCGAATAATGTATACAAATGGCTCAATAAATCAACCACCTACAATAACAAAATATTAGATTTTTTAAGAGCAATTACTAACACAGCTCAACAATTTCGCTTTTTAAGTTATTGCAGAAGGTAATTACAAAAACATCAGAACGCCATTACAAAATAATATATCGTTGCCTCCAATAATTAGACGTAACTCAATAAATCTGCCAATTGAAAGAAAGAACTAAACACTCTCCAATTAAGAGGTAAAAAAATCACCTATTCACTTTATAACTCTTTAACTTGGAAGGTTGAAAAGTGTAATGTCCTGACATTAAAGGATACCTCATAAATCAGAGCATGACTAACACAATGCGTTTTAATAAAATATATGAAATATTTTCTTCTGTTAAATATACCAAGAAAACATGAATGAATAACTACGAATCTAGGAAAGAAATGGAAATCCACTCGTATAAGTCTAAAATAAATTCACAAACTTCACCACTTATTGCTTGTCTGCAACATGTCAGAGAGAGAGAACATCTGGTACCACTATTTAGTACTTTCAACATACACATGCTCTCTAGGCATCTCTTTTTAATTTGCCAATCGTTTGGATTTATGATCAAGCAACTGTCTACTGAAGTAGAACTAAAATTGTTCTTTTTCGAGCAGTTTCATTAATAAGACTTCTTATTAAATGGCTGTATAGGAACAATTAGAAAATATGAAATTCATGCAATGTTACCTCCATAGGCGTTGATTCGGCTGATAGTTTAGTAAAGCTACAAATATCACTAAAATAGATGGTAGTGGAATTGAAAGTTTCTGGTATAACTGGCTCTCCTCGCTTTAATTGCTCTGATACAGCTCTGAAAATATTGTAAATGAAATAAATCTAAAAAATGAAATGAAATGAATGGATTTTACGTCGTACTTTTCTGTACCATGTAGGTTAATGAAGACGGGCAACGCCATGCAGGGTGCAATGAGGGAAATGTTATATATAAAAATAGATACATGGGGTGGTATCTGTCTATTTATTTTTCAACCTTATTGAACTGACAAAGAGTGATGACAACAGACTATAAGTTTTAACTAACACAGCCGTTCACATGCGTTTTTAATTTCAGCCACTGCATTATTGACAAGGGATCATATTTTTGCACGGAATCTTGGTAATGGCCCTGTCACACCGGAAATGCGCTGCTACTGCGACGAGAGTGTAGGACACGCCAGATATCGTGCAATTGTCGCCACTATTCGCCGATTCCTAGCATTTATGGAAGGAACGAAAAACCTGCGATATGAGGTCGACCTTTAGTAAGTTTGTAATTTTTTGGGACTTTTTCTCTAATTTTCTAGCGCTTAACGGCGGTCTCGTACATCTCACGTCGCCACAAGTTCACAAATGGTCGCAGTCCGGTGTGACGGGGCGATAAGCGAGCAAGCGATTGAAAAGACTGAATCATCGAAACTTGATTAACAAACCGTGGTAACATTCGATGAAGTAAGGCTTCTGTTTTCCTCTTTTCTCCAATAAGCTGTTCAGTTCTTTCTCCAACCAAATCTTCCAAATTTTCTTGATATTTTTCCATAATTGACATCATGTTATCGAATATATTCCGTTTCCTGAAGCGACGAAAATGATTGGTGAAAGATAAATATCTTTGCGCACACACAGGGCCGATTCAAACCAATAGCACGAGAAGTTCAATATATTTTGATGTACTTTAGTTATATATGTATACAATATAGGTTTGGTTTGTATAGTTTCAGTTACATTTCATTTTAACTAAAATATTTCTTCATAGAATCGTGCACAAGAATCTTTACTGAAATTTATCTTTCACCGATCATTTAGAACCATGTGAAGGAGGTCATGGTAATCTGTAGAGACGACCTTCAAAATACTTAGAAATATTCATATCAATTAAAGAATAGTAAAGACAAATAGAATCAGGTGGGTGCTGCAAGAAAGTCAATGGTCTATTCTTGCTTAGTTTCTTTCTGGTCCCAAACTAATGAATTTCGTTCAGAGTTTACAACAACATCTTACATCTCTATTTTGTGTCAACCCATCTTAAATTATAACCTGTTTTAGTATCTTAAAACTATTCCTTCTTACTTGAAATTGTAAAAACATTGAATTGATTTTCACAATTGTTACTTAAGTCATCAACTGACATATTTCTTTATCACATCAATTGGTCTTATCATATATCATCTTAAGTATCGAGATTAGTACTTACATGCCAGCTCTAAGCGGTTTAAGTTTAGTCCAGACAGTTCTAAACTCCGGTCTATCCTGTGGATTTTCTGCCCAGCATAATTCCATACAATCAATTATATATTTATCACAGTCGAGTTGACTTATATCAGGGCGAAATATTGGTTCTTTAAAATTCTTTACTTCTTCAACTATTTCTATAATACAATTAAAAAAAGGTGTTCAGTAAATTAAATTTATATGTTTTTGTATTATTTATATAGTTGTAAGTCGCTCATAATTTCACTGAGGTTGTGTGCAGTGGCGCTTGTAAAAAATATAAGGTAGGTGTATGGTAAAGTACATGGACTAATTACCACAGAATTGTCAGAGGGGCGGGGGACCTTCACATCTAATATAAAATTGGAAAGTGTTGGAAGGAGGGGGTATAGAAACACCACTGGTTATGCTCCTAACAGTTCTGAATATCATACGGGTAGATTATGTCAATATTTCATGGACAGGTTATGCCCAGGAACTCAGTCTTCGGTGCCCTGAGTTATGCTTCGCCCGACACCTGAACCATTGAAAATGTTCGGGCATACCAGCCTGCCACATCCCCCTTCCCAACAAGCTTTCGGTCCGTAATGTTCGAATATATCGTACCCAAAGCCTAAACAGAAATGACATTCCATTAATGACAGACAGAACTTGGCAACATGTCCTTTGAATCGAATAATAATAATAAATATACCTTTTGGAGTCAATTCATAACAACCATAAGGACCTTGTCTAACAAATATTTCATGTAATATAATACCAAATGAGAAAACATCGCCTTTCTGGGTTTTCTTCAGATGACGATTTCTGATGAATTCAGGTGCACACCACAGTAAATCTGAAAAAAAAAGAAACAAGTAAATTCTCATAAACTAACAGTATATTGCAATGGGAATACGAAAAAAAAAGCGATCCGAACAGAAACAAAAAACATTGGAAGCAGCTAATGAACTATCCATATAAGGAAGTTTATTAAACGTCTTTTCCTATTTCTACAGATATCTTCTATATAAAACGCAGTGTCTCAAGAAAGGACGACTAGTCTTTTTAACTTTCAAACGCGGATAATTCTGGACACACATAGATTTGAAGGCTCAAATTTCGACGTTGAACTGTGAACACTATTGACTTAGCTAAAAGAATTCCTGTTTCTGAAACTATGGTACGATTGCTAAAACAATTGGCACATCTGTCCCTTTAATGAAAAGTGGTATCAGGCGCCAAATCTGTGTATTTTTCTTTTCAACAAGTAGGTAAACTTTAATTTGTGGGATGAATCGGCAACATATAAAAATCACATACTTCTGTAGTACGCATGCTCATCTTCCTTCTTGTAGGTGGCAGCACGGATATTTAACAGACCGAAATCTGTAACTTGTAACATCCATCTGCTGTTCACCACACAATTGGAGCTTTTCAGATTTCCATGGATTTCCAATTCAGACTCGTGAAGAAAGATCAGTCCCTGAAATATAAAATCAATGACTCCATTAAAATCATGGTAAACAAATTATTCACTGTGGGGATTAAGAAAAAGATATTTGAGACGACTATGATTAGATATAGAAGAAAATCTCATTTCGTAGACAGTAATACGAATTTATGGCCTTCTTAGATTCGTTAGATAAATCATTGAGTGTTTATTTTTGCTGCAAAGCATCTTATTGTATTTTATAAATAGCTATAGAGAATACAGATTACGAATATAAGCAAATAACAGTGTTAGTAATGCCATGGTCACGTTAATATTAATCCTACATTCCTGTATCTATTTAGCTAAAAACTTCATTAGTAAAGTTTACTTGAAAAGTAGACCGTTAAAGAGGAATTCCGCTTTTTTGCTAAAAAAAAAATCATTATCATAAACGTCGTAAATTTACCTGAAAATATTTCTAACGTATGCTATTTATATCCATGTATCTACTTGATCAAACTGAATTTGTTTTAAAAGGGTTAATAAAAAACAGAACGTACTAATTGTTAATTAAACAATTTGTCATTGTTTTTGTGTTTGGCCTTATAATGGTTCGGTATAATTAGTAGAAACATTCAGAATACGTCCTGAATCGCCTCTTCTTTTGACCCTATTAAGTCCCGAAAATAGTCAGGAACATGCATCATTATTTTATATCTTCGGATGAAGTTCAGGTGCATCCCCTCAGTCTTAAGACCAAAAAGTGTCTAACTTCTGTATGTTGAAAATCAGTCGGACAAAGGCCGTCTTGGTCGTCTCCTTGTTTCGTCCGGAATCTAAAGCTTTCGTCTAAATAGTCCGAAACACCAGTTACTTTTTACTTCGCGTGGCTACTTATGTCAACATCAGCCTACATTCCCGTCAAGAACGGCAAACATCGACAGTTGCGAATACTTCTGCATAATTGCACCCCAGAATCGTGTCGATCGCTCGAAGAATTTCTGAGATTCGTCCTCCTTTCCCTCCCGCCATGGTCCTGGGAATAATTAAGTAAAAATGAGAGGACGATTGGAGGTGATTCGAGAAATGTCATATATTAGCGACAATTTAGTTCCCATCGTTCATATTGGATAAGTAATCGTATCACATTTTCGTACCCTCGACACCCTCGGAGGACTTAGGCGATTGCACCAGATATTCCCTCAAAGGTAAAAGATAGGGCTCGAAGGTGCTTACAGTTTCTCGACATTTTCGCAAAAATGCAGCCGATCGACTGGTACTATCGGGGCAAAAATAATGCTCGGGGAAATTAAATTTGTATGAACTGGTGTCTTGACGTGGCCGTGTGTAAAAAGATCTTTATAATGAACTAATCAACATAATGAAGTACGTAATTTGAAATATTATTAACAAAGCAACTTACTTGTAACAGATCTTTGACCAATGAGGCAAGAAACATGTGATCTAATTTGAGATCTGGGTTCTCTAAGATATCCTGGAAATCAAAGAAATACCATTCAATTATATCACGTAAACATAATTAGCTACGTGGAATATCTGAAATGGATGCCAAGTTGACAAATTTTAATTAGTTTTAGAAGGGTACAATTATCTCGCTGCGTGCTGAATTAACCACCATATTATAATGATGATGTTATTAATAACACCTTAACCTTGACACAAAATTAACATATTTTCTACTCCGATATCGAATCGAACTTTAATGGTCACCATTAGACGTCTGTAAAATAGATTTCCACATTTACAGTTCTTCATCAAAGCTGGCTAAATTTATAGCTTGTTAACAGTATTACTACATACTTAATTCAATTTATAATTACTTATATAGCCTAGGTCAATGTTCCAATGGAAGCATAATTTCTATGACACATAAGACTAGACAATAATTAGATGTTTGCTGCCATCATCGTTTACTTTGAAAAATTTTAGACGCCATGATAATCAAAATGCAGTATCTAGACGTTCATCAATGTCTATCTAAAAAAAAGTCTCCTAGAAAAAAAATTGTGATGTGCTTTTTAGAATAAGAAAAGAATATTTCATGGAAAGTCTCGAATAAAAACTCGTTTTCTTCGGAGAAAATTTCTGTCCTTTAGGGAGAATTCTTGTCCTTCAGAGAAAATAGTTAGAAAGTAACTATTATGCTTTTCAGTATTAAAAAGACTACTGTGAGACCTGATAATAGAATCAGAATATAGAAAAGTATAAACTCAAATATACTACAATGAGATTAGATTGTCTGTGGAATGTCTACCAATGCAGGAAACCTTTCAGTCCCAACATAACAAAAAAAATGTTTTCGGGAGATGATGTGTTTACATTTCACATATTATAAAACATGCTTTGTACGTCAATGGATCCGATGACACTCTCAGACAAATAACATATCTGATATAAAAAAGTGATAAAGATTACGCTTTTCAATAACATAATGTTCCATTGCAATCAAATCTTGAAGAGGGTGCAATAGAAACTACAGCCAATCCGTACATTACAAACTTCATGTTTTCTATTATGAATGCGTACTGATGCGTCTGAGAAAATCTGAGCATAATTACCTGTAGGCTTCCTTTAGAACAATATTCTGTTACAATGATAAAATATTCAGGATCTACACAAGCACCAATGAATGCATTAACGTTGTCATGACGTAAGTCTCTCATCTGAAAGAAACACATCATGTATTATGTAATATTTGAAACCTACTCAAATAGCACTTTGCTACAAACCCTAGCAAACAACGTCAGGCTCACACATTATTACCAAACAGACACCTCCATTTATTATAATTACTTCATACATACAAGTGTGGTTTGAAATGCAGACATTCAGCTTTTTTTCTTTCTATTTCTGTGGGAAGGGTGGTGGGTCTGTCTATCTTGCTATCCATAATTTGACTGACCAAATTGTATGCAGAACAAGTCATAGGTTATTAATATTATATTGGATCCAGTGGATGCTCTATTTAATTTAAGATTCACCGAATGAGAGGAATTATCAAAAACAACGATGCAAAACATCTTAATCTGCATTTGAGATCAGATTGTTTCATGACATTGAACTTCTTCTGTCCTATACTATGTCTCAAGCTTAGGGGAAATTTTGCGACATCAGAAGCCGAATCAAATGTAGCATTTGACAGTGATAACTTAGTTGTTTGCATTTAAAAAAAAGAAATCATTAAACCGAAGTGAATTTTTTGTTGTAAGACGAACGAGATGAATAAATGATTGTTACCAAGTGAAATTGTAGGTAAATTATTGTTTTGAATGGTGATAAACCATCATGAAAAACTCAATAAATACATTTTTTACACACTCTGATTTAAGGATCAATCCCTTAGAGAAATTTAGTGTGGTTTTTAGAAAGATACATGCATTATATTGTTGAACAACAAAGTATTTATGCATAATGTTCACTTGAGATTTCTGTTAAAACAAAATAATCTGATGATATTGGGATTGTAAATTTTTAATGTGTATCTGGACACTGATAGCATTGATAAGAACAGTTTCAATTTTCAGTCAGAAAGTAAAACTAAGCGTCTTGTGACGTCACTATCGCTAAAGCAGCTGAAATATCTAAGTGTCTTTACGATACCCACGTCGTAAAACTCGTATTTGGACATGAGACATACATGACATTTTTAGAAAAAAAATGTTACTTACAAGTTTCATTTCTTTCTTCATTTTTCTGCTAACGTCAAAACTATTGAATTCGTACATCTTCAAGGCCACTATCTGACCTTTATATGAACCTGTTTGGGCATATATCTGGGTCATAGAAAACTTAGATTCCATCGACTGCTGACTGCACAATGTCATCTGGAATTATTAAAAATGTCTACATCAGTCAATAGATTATATCAGAATATTAATAATTTTCTTCGGAATGTTGTTTTTGCGGCGTTATTTTTATCTTAAAAAAAAAAAACCTACTGTATAGAAATAACTACTGAATAGCAACAAATAAAAAATCGCAGAGAGCTTGCGAGAGAGTACTAGTTTAGCAACACATGTTCCTAAACATAGCCTTTGTGAAAAAAGATCTTTTCTAGGCGCGTTCAAGAACCTAGACCGTGACCTATCAAGTGTGTTCATGTTAACCACTTTGCGACCAGCTTATCGCAAAGTATAGCTTATTCAACAAGAATTGTATGTGTTGGACATCAAATTCATGACGAATGCCGTAATAAAATAAAATTGTAGTATATGTAGTTCTTAGTATAAGAATAGATGATGAGAATCGATGAACAAAAGGTCCGATTATCACAGAAATTGGTGAAAATAAACATACTCATAATGAATGGAATCCGAAAGCGAAATGTAGCTGTGGAGTGACCACGAAATGAAAACCGAAAGAATTCGATGAATGGTTTGATGAGATCTTGTCCAAAGAATGGCAAAATCGGGTGTCAAGGTTGTTTAGTATTGGACACTTCCAAAGAGAAGTACCATCAGGTGTTTGGAAAAGAGTAAGCATGGTCTGCTAGACAATATATGACCAAACTTCTTAAAATATCACCAGCTTCGAATTGAATTTTTTTTTCTCGTTTCAAAAATATTAAAAATAGAATTCTATTAGTAAAATCTATGCCATTAGTCTTAGAATGTCTTAGGGTTCATAGAAATATAAGGTTACTTTTGAAATAGCTCAATGATTTTAATGGCAGTTTGAATCAAGATGGCTTTTCTTATTTAATTTCTATTTTTACATAATGACTTTAAATCAGATCAACAAAGACAACATGAAACGAGGAAGAATAATTTTTACATAAAAATATCCCAGGAGACTTATTAAACAACTGAATGAATTCATAATTTGAGATTAATTTACTGGCAATCAAATCTAGTTCAGATTAACAGATTGTAAGATCTCATTATACAAGAAATTATAACTTTGTAATGTTTTTATATACATAAAAGACAAAAAAGGTTAGACTTTGTTGAACTCTATATGGATATTAGATAGAATAAATGAATATTTAATTCATGTAATTCACTCGAAGTTGATGATAATCGAATTGTTACCGAAAATTAAAACGAAAAATATTTGTTTAAAGGTCATTGTTTGCCATTTTCGGGGGTTAATTTTGGTCTTGAATATATTATGTTAATAATTTTCAGAAGTACTAGAAATCGCACAATTCATTCAAATAATACATCAAACAAGGAATTATACTTTCTGTTTTATATATATATGTCTTTTCTATATATCGTAGAAGTTCCTGACGAGTCGTCATTTTTACTTTCAAACGTGGATAATTTTGGACGCACATGGATTTGAAAGTACAAATTTCGACGGGTGAGTTGTGCACTATTACCGATTAGTTTAACTTTCAAACAATAATAAGCTTTTCTGAGACTAAGTTATGGTTGGTCATGCGAATGGCGATTCTGTCCCTTTAATGTAAAGATAAACATTTTCAATACATATGCAGTGTTAAAGGAACAGATGCGCCATATTTGGGGTTGATTTGGGTCTTGAATATGTCTAGATAGTCCAGTACTAGAAATGTATGAAAATCGCATAATCCCTTCAAAATATCTCAAACTAGGAATTTTTTATATAGATATCTTTTCTATATACGACAGTGTCTCAAGAAAAGACGACTCGTCTGTGTATCTTTCAAACGCTGATAATTTTGGACACACATGAAAACACATAAAAAAATAAAATTTATGACACTAAAGTACGATTGGTCAAACATATGGCACATCTGTCTCTTTTGAGTCCTTTAAACATTTAATTTCTTAACAAGTTCGGTCGTTTACATCTACACATAGCAACACTCATTGAAATTGGTGAAACTCTTGACTTGTAACTGAAGTTAACTTTTACCTTCTACGATCAATAGAATTTTCTAAATTGCCTTATCCATTTATGATTACTTGACGATACTCAATGATTTGCAAAGAGAGATCATACTTCAATAGTACAATAAAACCAATTATGGGAGTTAATATATGACTTCAAATATCTAAAGAAAAATCATTTTAAATAAAGCATGATTCAAGTTATATAGTCGTCTAAATGTTGGCTTTAACAGTTGATAGATGGTCGATGTGTACAGTCCGACACCTCTTTAGCTTTCTACCACGAACTAGCGAACTGGAAGTGGCGATATTCTAGTCGTTTCCATATTTTATTGGAACTGTGGCAAAATTTAATTTTGAAATGTGTAATGGATAGCTATTGTTGGTCTATTATAAGCTGGTAATGCAAATATTTAAACTAGATAGGTTTAATAATATGTGACGCAAGACTTGAATACAGACTAAGAATTCCAACAGAAACTCTGAAAAGCAATTTCCTGAAATTTTTAATAAATTTTTCAAATAATGAAAGAAAAGAAAACTTGGAAACATACCCGACTGGTACTTTTGGCTCTGTCTAATGGCCCAGTAGATTTAGAATCGCGTGTTTTTATATCTGATCTTGATATTTTCCATAATAATCCAGCAATTTCCTGTTCATATCTCCAATTTCTGCAAATAACATGAATATTTTTAATTATATTTAAAAATAAGGCACCAATATTCTGAATTGAAAAGCAGAAAATTCAGAAAAAAAAGAAGTAAAACACTTATCGAAACGATGGAAGTTAACAGATCTATGATACAGATTAATTTTTGTGACAATCCATTAAGGTTTCTTAGCACAAACTTAATTGCATGCCACATGCAATATCCTGTAAGTTTTGTAACTGATATTTGACATTACATGTCATAAAAAGCTAATAACTACAAAAATATATTTGAATCTTGGATTAGAGAGGTCACGACGTCTTGAGATAGAGCAACGCTGACACTGGAATAGATATGAAAGACAGAAGGTTGGGCTATGCGATGTAAAACGCTGTATTGGGCATCATCACCATTTAATTGTCCGGATGCCCACATTGTGAAAAATAAAAGGGGATGGTTCGTAAGAAACATCTACACCCTGAAACAATACAAGAGATGTAGTTTTCACATTTATAGACGACATATTTCAAAGATTGATAGACTTCCGGTTTCGAGTTAAACTAATATGAATTTGAAACTATCTACATCTTGTTTGGACCAACATTGACATAACAAGGATTGGTGATGGAAAGAATTTCGAGACCAATAGAAAATAAAGCAATAAAACACAACTTGCGTTGCATAAATCTCTATAGTGTATAATTTTCAAATTCAAACAAATTTACATGTCTAAGCACCAGTAAGTAAACATGAATATTTGACTATGATTACAACCCATAGACATAAGAGTCCAATAAATTGACGGATAATGGAAAGAAATACTCCGAACCCGATTAAAGAGGGGGTATTTCATCAAACAATGTTTCAAAACATTATTATCTATCTGTAGTAGTTCATATATCACAAAGAGAACTAGTCATTAAACTGGTGAGCCAAAATCAAGTCAAGTTGACGGATAGTGTACATTAAAAGACAAAAAAGGGATTAAACTGGAGTATTTCATCAAAAACTATTTCAAAACTCTTATTTATCTATAGCGGTTCAAATATCCTTAACCACTAAGAAAAACTAGTCTGTAGTAAACAAACTGATGAACTAGAGCAGGTGCGAAGGCTATAATACAACAATAACGTGTACTAATACTATTAAAGCTAGTACCTTGATGACAGATCAATATAGATAATCATCGTATAGGTTGATTAATAGTTCTGTTATTGATATATTTAACACATTAGTTTACAGATTCCTATTTCCTTTTGTTTACACTGATATTCAATTACTTTTCTCACGTTCTAGTTCAGCCTCCGAGATACCTCTCAATACCATACCACTAATATAATATATGATACGATGCAGTGTCAGTATGAAAATTCACAGATACCCAACAATACCGTATCGCTAGAAACACTCTAAATACACAATACAACAAAATACAAAATTATGTAATTGCAGAGAGGAGATCAGCTCAAAGTACCACCATCCAAGAAAATCTCAGACTCGGTATGTAAAACAATTCTATTACATCAAATATCATGAGATTACAACATTGACAATACTAAGGACAATACAGCATGTTCAGTACAGCAAAACATAACTATTCTGGTGAGACAGCCAGAGCAAGCTAGTAAATACACATAGGCATTCCATCAATATAATTCAAACTAAATTACAATTTCGTTTCTGATATTTTACGTCTCCTTTGTAGATTGAATTCATTGGAGACAAAAAAGAAAATCAGAGAACAGAAGAGAAACGGAATTTAATCTAATTTTAAGTAAATTTTCCTTTTATACGATTAACGGGATTTGTTTAAGAAAAAGGCGAAAAAGGTTCAATGCTAAAAATTTCTTGAAGAAAACGAATTTTTCCTTCTTTCATTTCATTTCATCGCTTCCAGAAAACACATAAGATGATGCAGTATTCGGACCTCAAACTTTGAATCAATGGAAAATATAATACGACAAAACAGGACACTAATAAAACGAAATACAAAACCAAGTCTAAGTCCATGTAACACAATACAGCAAAAACCATATGACTGGGCTTAGTCCGAAACATCTGCCTCTATTCAAGCCTCTGATAGCTATTTTGACAATTTTCGGCAGTGAAAAATTGGCCCTGTTGGATTCGAGCTAAATAAATGTGTCAAAGAAAACACGCACATTCGGGAAGATCAAGATAAAACAGGGCCAAGTTTTTCTGACCCTACTTCAGAATATGCTTTCACATTATCTATAGGAAGCTGGAATGGAGGCAGTTGTTTTGAACTAATCTAGGCTATGTAATAATGGTCAGCGAAATAAAATATACTGTGTAAGTGTTGAACATTGATTACCTGTATATGATGAGAAGAATGACTATTATAGTAAACACCAGTCCACCCAATACACCTCCTACTATCTCTAGTGTGTAGGCTGAAATAATAATCATGTCGTTGATCATCATTACTTCCATCAGTATCATTGATCATCATCATCATTGATCAGTATCATTATAGATCATTATTATGATTAATTCCTTTTGTAACTTAACTAATAGTATTGACATTATAAAACATTATAAGTTCAGATCATTAATCTAAAATCAAACATGCCTCACACATGCCGTAAGAAAACAATAAATATATCTGTACTTTATTGCTTTACAGAATCTGGCAACGATATTCAGTGTAATGAAAGACATTATAACAGGATGGCTGCTGTAACAATGACATATTCTACAAAGAGTTAAAGTCTGTAGCACTCCAGCAACAAGCCATCCAGCAACAATTTGACCATCGCCGTGAAAATTATACAGTCCTTGTCACATTTGTACATTACGACATTTGTCGTTTTTCCATGATATGAGTCATAACGTTTTGAAACGATTTGCTGCCCCCATATAAGAGCCATATAAACTCTACGAGTTTCAATTCTTATGATCTTCGGTTTAAACACGTTCCAAAAGGATCAAAACAAAAGCCCAATCGAAACAATCCTACTGGGAACGTAAATAAATACGGTATCTGAATGGGAGATCAAAGAGTGACAACCGAAATTTATAAATCGTGAGCAAATCGCATAACAGACCAACAGATCGTCCAAATTCCACTGTCGTGAGTGAATCGTATTTGTCTTGTCTGGTAATGACAACGATGATGGTCAAATGACAAAATCCGACAATGAAAAAAAAATATTGACTGAAAATCAGTATAGTATTGTATGTAATTATGAATTATTCATAGAGTCTGGGAACGAGCTTAGGTCAGTTGATGGTCAAGCAGATTCATAAAGCAATAAACCTGTATTACTTATGAATTCCTTGTAATAATTTTATGGTCTTAATCAAATACTGCGATGAATTTTGAACAGGTTTAATCTAATAACAGTTGAATAGACATTATATTGATAATGTAATTTGTTCTAGACGTAAGCAAGTTTATGATTGCCTATATTTAAACATTTAGATATAATGATATTTTATACCCACGCTATCTTATAGAGAAAGACTGTGATTTTTATGTCTACTCTCAATATGTTAGTGTAATTGAAAAGTGAGGAAGTATTTACTTTCAGGCGGAATGCATCGTTCTCCTCTGTATCCACATTTAGGCTCATCTACTGGTGGTTTCGTCAATACAGAATCTATTGTTTTTACATCAAAGCGGCGAAATGCCTGAAACAAGATGAAGAAAAATTTGATTTTATCTATTTTACATATTTAACATATTTGTTATACCCATGGTGAAAGCATGTAGCGACAGTAAACGAAGAGCTAATACTTGGAATAAGCTCTACCTTATTATTGCTGAATTTAGTGTCGCTTTGAACTCCGGTCAGATTGTGACCGCCTGTAACAACTTATTGACGAAATATTGGTAGCAGCTAATAAACTTTTCACATCAGGAAGTATGTCAATAATAAGTGAGTAAGTATTTCATAAAGAAAATTGGTATCAGGTATCTAGAAGAATAAGCGTACCCTGCCTGACGCCACATCCGTCTATTGCATTTTTCACCACTGTTTTTAAAGGAACGGTAATCCAGACATTTCAAAACTTTAAACATCATGTGCAGATCAAACGGCCTTCGAAGATAATTCATTGAAAAGTCGGTTTGACTTCGATTTTTCTGAACCAGAATGTTTTTATGTAGTTTCTGCATTTGTCAAAGTTCTGAAGTAAAACTTTGACAGTTCTACTTTAAAATATTAAAATAATAAAAAAAATATGTCAAAAAAGACAGGTCATCTTTGAATTCAAATCAAAAAGAATCGCCACAATGGCTGGCGTTATTAATAGAACAGTTGAATGGATTCTCTTAAGGAATATATCATAATCAATTAAACTTACAGGAATAGTGCTTCCGTCTGTCATTTGAAAATGACCCACGGGTAGCATGGAATAGTCTGCATAAGCAGTTTTGTACTTCACACGTGCCAATAAAGTATAGTTGCCTTCGGCGTCGCCATTTTCATCAATTTTCGAAAGGAAACCTTGGATACCTGGAAAAGACAAAACATGAAGATTGAATCAAGCTATCTTCAAGTGGTCTAATGGTGCATTATCTTATTGTAAATATCAACTCATTGAATTAAATTGTCAAACTATTCTTTTTTGTTTCTCGATGAAGGAAATCTGTAATTTCTCTCTATGCAATTGTTTAAAGTACGGGCACACGAGCGGTCTTGGCTGGAGATTTTGGTCGCCGATTTGAGTCTTGAGTAAAATCTCCCGTGTGCCCGTGATTGGACTACAAGATTATCGCGTCACCAACAACTTTGATTATTATCTCCGATAGTCTTATCTGCAAGATAGACCGTCATCATCTAATCAGATTCATTTTCCTTTCAATTGCATGTTTCGCACCTGATTATCGACATAATGGAAAATGACCGACTGGAGATTTTTATCTCCTCGTGTGCCCATGCAAACTCTTGACAAGATGATTGATTGAGCATGGGTTTATCTTGATTTGATAAGGTAATATTGTGAGGTTTTTGGTGCAGAAATAGAATGCTTCAGGGAACAGGGAGTGTTAAGAATCAATGTTATTGTTTCAGTACTAGGAAGGCGATGCCCGATCTTACGTCAAATGACATCAACATACTAATAGTGGCTTTGATATTTTATCGATTACATCAAAAATCAACGAAATTTACCCGCACTGTGTAAACTTTTATTTCAAGAAAAAGGCTTGATATTGAAATTTAATGCACCTCACATGCAATTCAATAAAAACTCGTTCAGAATTTGATATGATGAAGTTTTTGTCTCAATTACAAGGACAAAGCTGTTATAGAAAACATAAAAACAGATGAAAAAAGATTAATTTGTTAGAAAGCCTGCAATCTCTTCTTTGATACTTGTGTTTTCCTACTCGACTTTCTTTCTATAAAGCACTTGACTTGAGGATATTTAAATTTGAAGAAATCTGATCCTTGTTTCTGGAAAGTGATAATCAAATATTGATCTCAATCGGTCGATCTGTGAACATTCGGTGTGTCTTCAGAGAGAATGTGTAAATATAATAACTGTTTATGTATAATATAATTACAGTACACATTAGGAAAACACAGATGATGAAGTTTTTTATCTCGTAAAATTAACGGTAATTAACGATCATATTTTATCTATCTATGAAATAACATGCGTTTACGCAACAGATGTTCAATATTTCATTGTTGCATAAAATGCAATATTATTCGTTCCAAAGCAATCAGCAAAGTATCTTAATCGGGCAGGTGTTTTGTTTTCATTTTAAAAAAAGATATGGCTCTGGTAAATATGATACAAAGCTAGTGCGGTGAGTCACATTTAAAAGGAATACTACCTAATAATTTTCTAAGTAAGAGAAGCATGGAAAAAGTGTCTAGTCGTTCGGATGGGACAATAAACCGAGGTCCGTGTGCTACAGGCTGTGCACGTTATAGATCCCTTGAAGCTAAAAAAACGAAAAAGAGCAGGCTAATGCGGCTGTCCTGGCAAAATTTCTATCATTGTTTCCTGCATAACGTTGCCTGTCTTCATGAACCCAGATGGTGCGGAAAAGTTGGACGTAAAACTCCAATCATTTCATTTTCATAATATTCAAAGTCTCAAACTTGTATAATTGTATATATTCATCAGTTGGACTTATATCGGGTGCCAGGACTAAAGAATAGAATCTCTATATAATACGATATATCCATTAACCCAAGAAAATATTGAAACACAATTCTATGCAATCAATAATTACTTAGTTTTATGGGTAATTACTTAGTTTTATTGATACATTGGATTATAAAGCGATTCTGTTGTATATTTCGGGCAAGTTTATAAATTCAAATTTTTTGGTCACCCAAGAGGTAGTATACCTTTAACTAAATACAGCACATCTATTACAAATTTTTGACCGAGTACTATATATGGATCATGAATCAAACAAAAGATAAATTTTATACAAATCACCAGTAATGCATCTAGTATGTTAAGTCTGGCTAATTTTATGGGTCCTGATATAATTTGTACGATTTAATTCAGTAAGTGGAAACCGAGAGATTTTTATTTTGTAAGATTTTGTTGAAGAGTTAAGTGTTCCTGTACCTACTTGTATATGATCTTCTTCGTATTTTATTGATGATTGCTGTCCCATTTGTTACACTTCCATTTTCTGCTATTACTTCACTTAATGCTATAGAATACAGCTTGACAGCATCATACAGATATGCAGCATAAACAGAGATCTTAAAGTGAAAAAAATATATTTATTTACTCATTTCATAGAAATATTCAAAATATAAATTTCAAATTTATTTATGCAGATCCATAGAAATATAGAAGTTTCACAATAATTTGGTTTCTGTTAATAAAATTTTACCGACCCCAAAACAATCAAAGCTCATTTTTTGGAGTTGCTATTTCACCTTCAAAAAATAATGAGAAAAATTAGTCCAAGGTGTCCTGCAATGTACACCCACGTCCAGTGCCCCAAGAAGATGAAATGGGACTCGCAGACTTAAAAGGGTTGGAACCCCCTCTTATGATTTATTTTTAACTATGCTCTTGCATTCGGAGACCACTCTATAAGTCAATATAAAACCCTCACGCAGATAGTCATAGCTGCCTAATTTTCCTAACAAAAATGGTGAACCATTTTATACTGTTTCTTAATCTTTTAGATACTTGTAATTATGTTTTTTTATTTTCGGGGGATTGGGGCTCCCTTAGGGATAGGGCCCACGGACTTGTTTCAACCATCCCGTATGGTAGTTGAGAGACTGCCCACGCCATAATTCCTTACAATATATCGGTGTTTTTTTCTTAGGTATCGGTTTTGTCTTTCACCTTTTAATGTTCTATCTTAAATGAAAAGCCTTACTAATCGATGCATATTTTAAACGTAATTTAGTTCGTTTGAAAGTGATGATTTTTGTTTCATAATAAATTAGATAGAAGAGTAACGCAATACGCCTCTGTTAACGCTGACAACCGACAAATAGATACTGATTACAAACATCAGATTTTAAATGACAGATTCCAGTTCAAAATCCTACAGAATACTGTTATCATTGTCACATCAATAATTTCCAGTTCTAAATGAATAGTTAGATTAAAAACCAGAGAGGGGAAAATGCAAAGCCTTGACATTTCAAGATACACATTGTACAGCATCTTCCCAATGTCAAGCTGCTGAGAACTTCGTCTTATACATTAGCTACAAGAGCTACTTTTATTTTACCACTGAATGCAGCGATTTGATTGGATATACGCCAGCCAATTCAGCAAATCAGATCCCTTGACATACAGATTGCAGATATTATGGTTATTGTTTACAGACTTTCTGTCGGGATTCCGATTGGCTATAGCGCTAACGTACACTCCAATTGAATCGCTGCATTTACAAACGTTCCTGATATAAGAAAGGTGACTATTGCAGTCAATGTATAAGATTCCGTTCGTAATAGCTTGATATTGTGAAGATGATTTTACAGTTCTTGATAGAAATCGTTAGTTCATCACATATATTTGACATTTTATCTTTCTTTTGTAAACCTTTTTTTACTTTTCTATTTCCACTGAGTGACGGAGCATAAAACAAGATATTTCAAAAATAGATAAGAAACATATAATAGGGAAAATACTTATTGACTTATTGATAAAGTAAAAGTTAATTAAGGGCTTTGGCTAAAAATAAGTAAATCCTTTGTTTGTGTATTACATTAACACATTTAACACAATAAGAAAGAATTTGAGATTTTTTATGAATTAGCACTCAACCGAATAAAAATTCGTAAAATTATAAAAGAATATCAAAGTATGAATATCTCTAAGACAATTTCATCATCTTAAAATAAATGACTTTCTTGCACTAGTGGGAGTGAAAGTTGCGGAATTGTTACCTAGAATCGACCGTCTGGATTTAGCAATGAAATGAAAACTAAAGCAAAACTCACTCTTTTTGGTATCTTGAAAGGATTTGGAAATTCAAATGGTGCTTGTTCATTATAATCATTGACTTTATAATGAAATTTGCCATATTCAAGATTTGTTGCCGGACTGGATGTTATGACTAATAAAGATCTAGATGCTTCGAGATTCCTGGGTTGATCTGGTCTATCCATGGTTCCTGAAATAAATATGAACATGCATGTTGTATTTCATATTACCATGCCTTTTGAAATTATGAGTTTGAGAAATATACCTAATTCAAAAAGGTAAATGAGAAGGTATTTTCGCACCTTTGTCCTTTACTGATTTTAAATTAACAATCAAACTTTTAGCAAGCATGGAATATGTAGTATTAGACTATTAGTGCCAATTTGCATCATAAATTAAATGCACATCTTTGAAAGTTGCTTTATTGAACAATTAGCTGAATACATTCAATATTTTCTGCATTTAATATTCAATATTTCCACTAGTTGCAAATAGCAAAATTCAGTCACAATCTACTGGAGCCAGTCACAATTTCATTTGTAACTGACTCCGAGGTCTTAATCTATCCATCGTTATTTTGAATTTTATCATAAATAAGATTTGTGTACAAGTCACATCTGTTTTGGCAATTCCGTTTTCTTTTACAAAACCTCTTGGGAACCGCATTCCCGGGATATCTGTAACCATTTACAGCTGGGTCCACTGAAATAATGAGAAACGGTTACCGGACTTTCACACACCGACCATTTGTTCAAAGTAGCCAAGCTAATGGCATTTACAGCAAGTACTCGGAATAGTGTACGTTTCAACTACCATTAATGTTGAAGAAAAACGACCTACTGATGGAGGATAGTCAGTCAAATGATGCGTTTCCAGAATAATGATTAGAATCAAGCATTGGTTTGATATATTGCGGTAGAAACGTCAGAACCAATAATAATTGATTTGTGAGGGACGAGGGAATTAATAAAAGATAGATATAAAATTTGTATAGACTGAAACGGATTCTATTGCCTGTTTACAGCTAAAACTACTATATATCATCTGATTGCTGGAATTCTTAGCATGGTGATAACCAGTCGGAGAGTAATATTATCTTTATTAAAATTGACTCAGAATGTATTCAACTTTGATACGTTAACTTGTCACATATTGAAGATGATTTGATCGAAAAGTTTTAAATTTCTCTGATTGCCTCTATGCCAGACTGTTCGACTATTTTTTTTGACATAAGTGTGAGATTCATAAAAAAAATAATAATATTTCTTCATATCCTTGTGTGAAGTTCTTTAGCTTGAAATATATAGTTTCAATAGTAAAGCTGCTTTCACGCGATTACGGACAGTCTTAACATACGGTAAGTTTGCAACCACGGCGCGGCACATTGCACGTTTATATTAATGCAGTTGAATAAGAATGTCTTTTTCGAAGCTAAAGTTATGCTTGTATGTCAGGCATAATTCTAAAGCAAAATACTAGTTGTTGACAAAGAGCACCGTGTGTTCAGAATACGAATAGATAATACCCCTAATTCACCAAGGATTGTGTTTTCCAATCGGCTCGGTCTTTACCAGATTATCCTCTATGGATTATTTTTTTGATCGACCCAAATGATGTCTTGAATCGCCTCGAATCGCTTTTTTGGACCCGACAGATATTCCTTGAGCGATCCATTTTGGATATTTATACTGCAAAGGCCCGGTAGAGGCCCGCTTTTCACCGCAAGTGAGCGATCTTCGTTGTTCGACAGAGAATGGCCAAATGTAGTCGTAGGTTGACGAAGGGAGACACAGGAAACCGAAAGTAAAAGATCTCCGGACGTCCTTCGTTTGTTCAAATTTGTTTATTTTCCAAGGAATGTTTTGTCGATTGGCCATACTTTTGAGCAAAAATGTCGGGAATCTGCGAGCACTCTCGAGCACTACTTTATACCTTCGGGGACGGGAGCGATCCCCTCAGTCATCTGAGGATCGGGTATCGGTCCGTGGTCGTCTTGGTCGTCATAGTTGTCCGAAGTTCACTTTGTCTCGCCCAAACTCTTGAGCTTTTGATTTAACCTCTAGCACTCTCGAGCACAGGTCGGATACTTGCGCGAACTTTTGCGTACCAGAAAAGAGGAACGCCCGTGATTACCCCTACCCATGATTTGGTCCGTTGGTCGGTATTCAATTGCTTAAAAAGGGGAAATGTGTACCTATATTGCTTCCGTGCTAATAATTCCGATATTCAACCTTCTTCAAGAGTTTCCATTTAATATATGTTGATGCAATGCGTCACTGTACAGGTTGGAATAACCAAGGTATGTCCACCACATATTAATTTTTCGCGATTTTCGCTGATCAAATTCCAGCCTATGTTAGCGTCTTGGAAACAAAATTGTAAAGTGTTTAATTCTTAATGTTGAGATCACTTAATTAATAAAGTGGAATAATAGTCTTCCACAATGATGGTATGTTAATAGATGCATTACTTCCCTGTTCATAAAACAATATAATTCTTCAACCGCTGCTACTTAGGCTTTAATATATAATTAACTTACTTTTAAAATATTTCAGTGGTTCTGATTGATCAAAATTCCCATGGTTTACATAGATTACTATATAATCACCAGTATCTAATAAACCCCGATCATATAAATTACTCATAAAATCCACCACACCATTTATATCTCCCAGAAAGACATACACTGTAATATAGAATCATAGTTTTAGTTCTCAGAAAGACATACACTAAAATATAGAATCATAGTTTTATGTCTCAGAAAAACATACACTGAAATATAGAATCGTGGTTTTATGTCTCAGAAAGACATACACTGACATATAGAATCATAGTTTTAGCTTTCAGAAATACATACACTGAAATATAGAAACATAGTTTTATGTCTCAGAAAAACATACACTGAAATATAGAATCATAGTTTTATGTCTAAGAAAGACATACACTGTAATATAGAATCATAGTTTTAGCTTTCAGAAATACATACACTGAAATATAGAAACATAGTTTTAGCTTTCAGAAAGACATACACTGCAATATAAAATCATAGTATTATGTCTCAGAAAGACATACAGTGTAATATAGAATCATAGTTTTATGTCTCAGAAAGACATACACTGTAATATAGAATCATAGTTTTATGTCTCAGAAAGACATACACTGTAATATAGAATCATAGTTTTATGTCTAAGAAAGACATACACTGTAATATAGAATCATAGTTTTATGTCTCAGAAAGACATACACTGTAATATAGAATCATAGTTTTATGTCTCAGAAAGACATACACTGTAATATAGAATCATAGTTTTATGTCTCAGAAAGACATACACTGAAATATAGAATCAAAGTTTTATGTCTCAGAAAGACATACACTGCAATATAAAATCATAGTATTATGTCTCAGAAAGACATACACTGCATTTAAAATCATAGTGTTATGTCTCAGAAAGACATACACTGTAATTTAGAATCATAGTTTTATGCCTCAGAAAGACATACACTGAAATATAGAATCGTAGTTTTATGTTTCAGAAAGACATACACTGAAATATAGAATCGTAGTTTTATGTCTCAGAAAGACATACACTGAAATATTGAATCATAGTTTTGTGTCTCAGAAAGACATACACTTAAATATAGAATCATAGCTTTAATTCTCAGAAAGACATACACTGAAATATAGAATCATAGTTTTAGCTTTCAGAAATATATACACTGTAATATAGAATCATAGCTTTAAGTCTCAGAAAGACATACAGTGTAATATAGGATCATAGTTTTATATCTCAGAAATACATACATTGTATTATAGAATCATAGTTTGACATCTCAGAAAAACATACGCTAAATTAAAGTCGTAGTTTTATGTCTCAAAAAAACATACACACAATTAAAGATTCATATTTTTCAGATTCAGGAGATTTTAGATGATTAACAAAAAGACTTATTTAATTCCAATCGTTAGAACGCTAATACTTTCAAATTGCAGTCAACTAATATTATTTAGTAAGGCTGTTTCAGAGAAGATCACTTAGAATCTTCTTTTTTGCATAGTCCAATTCACTTAAAACTAAAATACTGATCAATAACAATATCAATGCAAAAATATTTTACTCTCGCAATGAAAATAAAGCGTGATAAAAAGTTGTTAAAATAGACATCATTGTACACTTGGGTTTTAAACTTATTTGTATTATAAAAGATAATGGCCCGTATGCACCATATAAAATAAAATTAAGAAGAATAGAATTATATCGGGCTTAAAGGGACAGATTTTTGACCAATCATACCTCAGTCTCATAAACGGGGATTTTTTAGCTAATTGTCATAGTGTTTACAGCTCACCATCGAAATTTGAGCTTTCAAATTCATGTGCGTCGTTAATTAATCCGCGTTTGAAAGGTAACTCTGCCATATACAGAAAAAATTTCTATAGAAATAGGAACAGAAATTCCTAGTTTAAGATATTTATGAAAGAATTATGCGATTTTCGTATATTTCTAGTACTTCTGTACTTTTATTTGGTGCAGAAAGGCCATTATGAAATAGAACTTTATTAAATGATAATGTTGACCAAATTAGAACATACAGCATCTGAACCGTCGGAATGACATCTGATTGGTCAATAATTAATTTGATGAAGGTATTAGTACAAACTATTTAGTAGTCTGGGATTCTCCTACAAACCTAATTGTTGTTAAGATCAAACGTTATTGCGTCCTCATCGAATTGAGAACGTAACCAGATCTATTGAGTTAACACGAAATTAGAATCTTCGACCCCTTTGATTTGACTTCCTGTCAAATAGATCAAATTATTCACACTGATTCAATCCGAGTAACTTTTCCAATTACTAGTCCAAGGTTTGGTCACTGTGACCAAAACACTAGGATAGAAAAAAAGTTGTATGATTGAAATCAATTTCTAGACATTGAATTAATTGATATACGTATCTGCTCTTATATCTATATTGGATATTTAGATTGCTGTCAGTTTCCCCTCTCTCCATGTCATCCATCTGTAATACTCAATACAATAATCGGCTTCAAGTTATATTGAAAATAGTTTATTGCACCCACGATCTCATTTCACTAATAAATGTTCATGTAAAAGTGGTTTGCGAACGTACACAATTTCTTTGAAAAAAGGGGATATTTTAATAGACAGCCTTTCATTAGTTTCAAGCAAGCGTTTTGTATATCTCATTTACCTCGAGACCTTTTCTAACAAAAGGCACCGAGCGTTTTGACATTCGGAATATGAACTAATATCTCTCTTTCATCACAGGTTTGACGTAGAATTATCAAGGGACAGATGCTTCAGTTTTTTTGACCAATCATACTTCATCTCATAAACGGGATTTATTTTTAGCTAAGCCAATCAGTAAAAGTGTCCACAGCTCACCGTCGGAATTTGAGTCTTTAAATTCATGTTGTCGAGAAATATCCGCGTTTGAATATTAAAATGACTAATCGTCAACTATGCGATTTCCGTACATGTCTAGTACTTCTGAAGACTAAGACTACATATATTCAAGACTACATTCGACCCCACCAAAATGCCGCATTTGTTCCTTTAAGGGATGTTCAACGTCGACTTGCGAATCATGGTATCTTCAATAGCAGTTGTTAACATCGCTCTGGGCTGAAAGTCGGAAAATTGTTGCTTCATTCATAGAAAATGTATAATAATAATATTTAGTTGTATATTCAAATGTTACTCATCCCAGTCACATGAAATATATATTTTCTATAACACAAAATAATCATTATGTTTTTTTTATAAGCTGCTTATCAAAAAATTCCATAATACATGTATATATATTTTTTTCTTTTGGATTAGTACATATGGACCAGTCACGAGCTTAACAAACTGCTTCCTAAATGTCATTTAAAGGCCCGAACATACAAAGTACGGTTTGCGATGCGGGGTCTGGTCTAGGGATGCGGTCTTATCATACAGAACATACTGTAATTCTAGAATTAATTTTTCAGTTATCTCCACCAGTTTCTCGGTGTATCGTGTATCGCAACTTTCAATGTGTGTGGTCACGGGTCACACTGAAAGACGAAATAAAAACAAGGCTTCAAAGGTGAGAATAGGTGTCCGGTGCGGGATAATCGCTGCGGTAAAAAGTACTTCAAGCAACAGACACGATGCCGGGGCGCAAATATGTGAAAGTACGCATACGTCGGGCCCGGCAATCGGTCACAGAAATGCTTCACCAGGATAAATTTGGTGATAAGTCGTCATCGTTTGCAAATGTTACCAAAAAATTCGTTGAATTTGATCTGTTTAACAAAAACTTGAAACTGGACAAATCAACGTTATGTATCACCTTCAGGGTATGCTTTAGCTCTTGAAAAACTGCTATGCATAAAGTTCTTGCTATCTCATTTTCTAACCCACACATTATTTACAAAATGAAATGAAAAAATGATAATCCTTGAATATATTGATTTTAAAATCTCTTCAAGTTATAATTATTTCAACTATAGTTTTTCCAATCCAATATTGCTAATAATTTTCTTCCTATTAAAAAAACAAATGAACAAAATAAGTAAAACATTGGTTTTAAAGCGACAGATTCACCATCCATTTTACTAATCGTACCCGAGTCTCAGAGATGAGAACTTTTGTTCTTCTGGTGACTTTGTACGTAATAAGAGTCATAAATGACAAGACAATGGTCTTTAAAGAAAAGCTGGTACTGGCTAACAAGAGTGGATCATTCGATATAATTCGTAAAATTTCAGTCCATGGTAAAAAACATGGTCTGATAACTGCTAATAGAGACGTTAATACCTTTCCTATCAACTATTATATAAAAAGCTTTCTTAACAAAAAACATGTCTAAATCTTCTATGATCCGTCTAAGAATATGGATTAAATCACGAAAAAAATACTTTTGTAACTGGCTGAAATATGTAAGGTTAATCATAAGGCACACTTTGGTATGACCTTGGTCATTCAAATGTTAGATATTTATCGTGGGTAATTGATCATTCTTTAATTTAGTGTCCGATAGCCTATGTTAAAGCCGTCATCTTGGGACATTTGTAAAATCGTCAATTCTGTCGCTCGACTTGGAATGAAGCATTTGTAGAAACCTTTCATATATAATAAATGACTAGAGAGCATTCTTAAACTAATTTATTCGCTGTGTTGTGTAATAGCCCCGTTACACCGGACTGTGCCATTTGCGATCTTAAGGTGACTGGAAATGTGACTCGGCGACCATGGATTGTACAATGTCTGGTGTGTCCTACATGCTTTTAACACACGTGTGGTATATTATGGCGACCTGAACAAGCTCGGAACATTTTCCATCGCAGAAGCAGCGCAGTAAGAACGCCTTTCCGATGTGACGGAGGTATTATGTACATCAAGTCAGTTTTTTATAAGCCGGGTTTAATCCAACAAATCGATGTAGCAATCTTGTAGGATTAGAAAACATTAAAATATTAAAAGAACTTGACATGTGCGTGGAGATTTCTGTCCCTGATAGATATTGTATTGCCATTATAGAGATTACAAATCATTCTTAGATGGCTTCTCTATAGATTTACATGTATATTTAACTGTAGTTCCTATCAAGAGTTTAAGAAATAAAAAGCATGATCATAGCTGAAGACGTCATGTGAGTTGAAAACTTGTGGTTTTTTTTCATTGAAAAAGTTATTTTAATCGTAATATAAGCCTATTGGATCTTTAATTTTTTGTTTGTGTGAGTAATTCAATCTGAAAGCGTTTGCTTCATGGCATTATTTTCTGTTTTCGCCATTATCTACCAAGTGCTAGCCAATATTTCATATATGCGCCAATAAACTATACGGAATTAACATTGACGGAAATTCAAAGAAAAATCCTATAGCCTTCGAAGTATCCTTAATCACCTTAATTTTCTGCGGTAACTTCATAATAATAGATATCTGATAGTTACTGGTACTATCATTCATTCAGAATCTTTGACGCTTCGAATGAGTTTTTTCGTGATATTTTACCTACCGAAGCCTCCACGTCCATATTTCATAATCAAAGACGTTATGGCGACCCAATTCACAGAACCAGATTCCAGAACATAGAACCAGACTCCATATTATGGCATCATTTCCCATCCAAACATACCCCCGACGACGGTTTAAACCTAATCTGACACTGCAAAGAGATCTTTCTGATGACTAATCTGTAATCATAATATCAGTAGCTTATTTCTTAAATCTAGCTCCAGGCCACGGAAATAATTCTAAAATTGGAATCCTTTCCTGGGTGAAACACTAAAACTAAAAACATCACATCTAACATTGTGTTCAAAATAGCACAATATAATGCAAATTACACATATTATCAAAATGTTCAAAATAACATATTTATACAACGTGATGTTTAAAATAACACATTTATACAATGTGATGTTCAAAATAACACATTTATACAATGTGATGTTCAAAATAACACATTTATACAACGTGATGTTCAAAATAACACATTTATACAACATGATGTTAAAAATAAAACATTTATACAACGTGATGTTCAAAATAACACATTTATACAACATGATGTTAAAAATAAAACATTTATACAACGTGATGTTCAAAATAACATATTTATACAACATGATGTTCAAAATAACACATTTATACAACATACTGTGTAATAATGATCGGTGATAATGACCAAAATAAAAATTCTCGTAATTATCTATTGCAGAAGTGCAGTAAGAAATTAAAGCCACGGATACGTCAAAATCAGGTCAGTCATTATACGCATGCAGACATCTTCCCTTTGATTTAATCCTATCTCTTGTGTCACATTAAGCAAATTGACCCAATATCTGGACAGTGATCTACAACAGTCAATAATTCATTAAATGATGGGATTAATTAGGTTTCTATAGAAGTCGAATATTAAATTTCATGTACATTCAAATAGATATATTTTTCTTACCTCGTGTTCCAACGTAGGTTTCATCAACAATACGGGGAAATGGATTTCCAGTGGCGAGAGCAATGTGTGGTTCTTCAAAAACTTTTCTGTCATTTATGGTTATATTGTACAGTTCTGATAACTCTATCAGTTTCTCAGCAATAGTCTTCTCTTTATGCGACGACCCAACAATGAGGGTATATTTCTTCCAGTTATAATGTAGAAGTAGAGATATGATAGGTTTGGTGACCTGAGAAGCCGGAGGATAGGTTCTAGCGAATGTTGGATACAATGATTTATCTGAGACTTCATAGTCAGCACATTTCTGAAAGAAAACAATATATATATATAGCAGAGAAAATGAAACGCGACTTCGAAATCTTAGAAACAATTATCAGTTAAAGAAATCCATTTCATCGAAATGAACATTCATTTACAGATCCTATTTCGAGGATAGAAAGATAAAAATAGGAAAATCATTTAAAGAGCAAGGCGCTTTATTTCCTACGGCGGTGTGCAGTGAGATAGCTCAGCCAATAAATTTTACTAGCTGATAGCATGATTTCTTACAATAATGTGTATTAAGTGTAGCTAAGTGTATTAAGAAAGCTTCTTATCAACCTGTTATGTCATCGCCAGTGCATTGGAAAGCCGGTCATCGTCCAACACTTTTGGCCCATATGATTGATAACTAACCAGCCATTTACATACCCTTTACGGAAACGAAAGTTCCAGGGAGTGTTTAGAGCAGGTCCCAAGAGGTTTTCAGACACATGAGAGGAAACTGATATGCTGATGGACTGATGTTTTTCATCAAGTGAAGCACGTATTCCTGTAAATCAACACATGAGAATTTGGAGCACTGATTTTCAACAATTTGAGATGAAATGGATGCGTGAAAGATTTATGCTATCGATATATGCAGTGAACTGTTACGGAATTTTTAAATGATTTAATAGATATTCCATTTAAACATAAAAGCTTTGCATGCCAGCAATTGAACGTTTTTAAAAAACGTTTGAAGATAGATCTTAAGCTGTCATTATTCCGTAACTGAATTAATTCTTGTAAGACATATCTTCCAAATAGCTTAGAATTTAATATCTCGTATTACTCTAAACTGATAAGGAAGTTTTCCAATATTTTTTCAACTAGGAACATAATTTCATTTGTTAGGTAGAAAGGAAATGGGATTTTATATCATACTCTTCTACCCTAGGTTAGATGGGACATAGAACGCATAATGAGGCAAAATGTAACAGCTTCCAACAGTCGATGCATCTTAAAAATGTACGACACATTCATATTTGCTTCCCGATAGCAAGTTTTTTACAGTTTTGTAAGCTCCAAGCATATTTCATGTTGATTTAACACTTTCCTGATAATGTGGGCGTACTAAGTACTTTAATAGATTCTTCATCTCACCCACTCTATACCAATTGCTTTTGTCTCGACCACTTAGAAAATATAGACATTTACTTAAACACAATGATTATAGGCCAAGCTTTTTTTAAATATTTTGTCAGCATAATTCCATGTAAGATAGTCTGATTTGTTTCCGACATTTCTTGACCTTCTTCCGACATTTAACTTTTTTCGTGAATTTTGTCCACGTGAAGAGCGAAATATTCTCAGAATAGAAGTTTTGTTTCATTCGCGTCATCATGTAACTTCACTCGAGTTAGTATTTTAGGGAAATAATTCATAAGACAAAATCTATTAGAATATCAAGAGCTACGCAATAAAATTCGTTCAGTAACTTGATATTCACTAGACATAATGCAGACAAATTAGTAAAATTAACCTCCAGTGTCGTGGCATCAGACATCTAAATGATGGGTCTTAGAATATGGCCAAGTTCTAACTGTGACTTACTTTACCGACGATAACCTGTCTAATATATCAAAAGAGATTGAATGAACTGTTTTGTAAATCTTAGATTTAAGAAACCAGACAAAACAACACATGATTTTCTTTTAAAGCTCGGATGGGCTTTTCTCGGATTTTCTACTGTTGAAGATGCCTTAATTACAAATACTTTTAACAATTACTTCGATATTACGTGAAGACTACTCCCTCCAATACATGAGTACAATATTGATGTTCTCAATCTAGCAAAGTGTATTGTAATAACTCCCCGTACTTCCTGATCAAAAGATATGATAAGGCCCTGGAAGGAATTTCGAGTTTTCTTGGGTTGACACCTCTTAAATAGACCATGTACTTTCACAACTCATTGGATGTAAATACTCCACACATAATAAACATATTTTTTTTTTATCTTCAAAATAAAAGAAATAAGGAAGTGTAACGCCTCCAATTTCGTTTAAAGTATATCATAATACATCTTAAAATAGTACCCTATTGTAATAAATTTCAAATCTCACCACACATTGACATACACTACTTGATATTACTTCGTATTAACCTGTATTATTAATTTTTCTATTCTTTTATATTTATCATACTTTAAATAGAAGTCGACAAGCAGCATACTGTGCTGTAATACTTTAAGTCCTTTTCAATATACCTGATGATATGTATTAGACAATGTATAACAGATAGCTGCTATCTCGATAGCAGATTGGGACACGATAGCTGCCATCTCGATAGCAGATTGGGACAAGATAGATTCCACCTCGATAGCAGTTTGGGAAAAGAAAGCTGTAAGTCACCATTAATATCAAGAGTACGCTACTGATTGTGAGGTGTTTGTGACAAATTGTCTCTATTTGTATGAATAAAAGAATTCAGTCCAAATTAACTGCTTCTCTTGCTTCTCGCCTACGAGAGGCGACAAAGCAAGGAAAACATCGAGAAAGCGGTGGTTAACAATTGGCTGGGAAAAGGCGAGACGTCAAACGGATAACGAACTGTCCATTTAAAGACACTGATTAAGATGCCATATTAAACATGAAGTATGATTAACTATTATTAGTAAATTCAACAATATGGTATCGGCTGCGGTCAGACTAAAATAGGAATTAATTTTCTCATTTAGTTCAATAAGTGGACTAAAAGGCCTTTGAATAATCAGTCATCCGGTTATTATTGAAGTTTTTATAACGTATAATTCAAAACAATAATTCTAGTATTTCCGAAATTTGAATTACATTACCTAGTAACGCTTGAATTTGTCGGACGTATCGAGTAATGAATTTTAATAATTTCAAAAAAAAAAAAAATTTGAGTATTTGTGGCAAACACAGTATGTAGAGATTACTGTGGTATTTTCAAATATGAATATTTTATTCTGTTATGAGTTATTAGCCCGAATGAGCACTTAGTTTGTTATGTAATATTCATTATAACACTTACTTCTGTATCACATTGTTGAACAAATAACGACAGCTTTTTTTTAGTAGGTTGAAACAATTAGATGCTCTACTATAGGAGAGGCTTCCTTATTTTATCTGAAAGTTTTGCAGACAAAAATTCTGCCATTATGATTTTTTAACGCCAAATCTATCTAAAACGTTTACGTAATCTTTTAAAACTCGTTATGTTCTTTGGTAGGTGTTGGAAATAATTTAAGGGTTTTAGCCAAATAAACGCCGAGTAGTAGATTAAATTGTCTCCTACGTATTCTAAAAGTTTCAACTAAAATTATCTTTATGAAGCCCAACCTCAAAACTAGTTTCAGCTTCTAATTAACAATTAGTATATTCTTTTTTTAATTAACCCTTTTAAAACTTAATTTGTTTGATCAAGTAGATACATAGATTTTGAAATATTTCCAGGTATGATTTACGACGTTTTTCACTTCTTGAACATTTTTAAGATTGCCTCTTTAAGCATGTTAGACCCTCGGAAATGTCTGTCGAGTCGATAAATCCAGTAGCATACTTGAACCATCAAGCATAGCTAAATTTATCAATTAGATCATTCTAAATTATACAACCATACCATTGTTGATTGACTCACGGGTAACTTAAAAGCATGGGTTGCTACAAGTGTATTGCATTTTACTGTACCCAACAGTTGCTTCCTGTCAAAGCCTTGGCTTAACTTCAATTTTATGGGGGCTGGGACCCAGGTCGATTGACGATTCGCTTCGTCTTATCAGATTCGTCAATTCCCGATTGTCATAAGAAGCGGTCACTGAAAACATGCTGTTATATTTGTCAGTCGACCAATTTCGGGTTTGGCTTAGGCATATAATTTAAACAGTCTTCAGAAGTACGACTTACTGCGAGAAAATCGCATAATTCCTTCAAATATACAAATTACAATTTTTACTTGCTATTTCAATATATTATGTATTTTTTATATATGGATACATGTCGTCATATAACTTACAAACGCGGAAAATTCTGGACACACGTGGATTTGAAGGCTTAAATTTCAACACTATTGTGAACACTGTGATTGATAAACTTAGCTAAAAAAAATCCCGTTTCTGAGATTAAGGTACGATTGTCCAAACGGATGGACCCTTTAACAACTTTAGAGTATGTGTATGGTTATACAAAAGCACTGAACTAAGTGACCAATAAAACTCTATCAGCCCATTTATCTGGTATATCACTATTTAACAAGAAGACACTAACTTCCAAGATATCTAATGTAATATGAGAAAAACGAGTCGTGTTCAAAACGTAATACAATAACGAACTGTTGTCCCTAATGAATAATGTCTATCTAGATTGATCATGACAGATACAGTACGGTAATTAACCCATTGACTCACAACAATATTCTTATTCCAACAACCTCTCATTAGTAATGTAGAACAAAATGTCTTTGAAGTATGTTAGTATATTAACCCCCTTTTCATAATTAGTTCCTTGGCTTAGATATTAACCACATGTCAAAACAAAAGATAAATGGTCTAGGTCAAAACAAGGATAGCTTTTATAGTGATAAAATTATCTTCAATCAAAATGTATTTAATACAAGTACTTCCAAACATAGTTGCATATATGTTTTAATGTCATTGGCATAGGATGAAAAACGTCATATATGCGCCCACATGGCAGGAAATTTTGTCATGGTATTCGACGAATACGGTTATGTCGGTTAATCGATATATCACGATACGCATACCATATCGCGTGGTGGTGTATCGATCTTGAGGATACAAAATGTACTAGAAATTGCATGTATATTTAATATAACAAAAATTCATCTGAAAATATACAGCAGTGAAATATCCATTGAAAGTTAAAGTGCTACATATGACCTCTGGCCCGTATCGCAATACGTATCGCATCGTGACATAATTGTCAATACCCAGTTATAAGCCGTATTTGATGATCTTAAAGATGACTCGTGGGCCGTTAAATTTATGTCAAGGCCAATACTTATTAAGTCGTTGGCTATGAG